TTATAATCTTGAAAGAAGTAAATAAAATAATTGTAAAAAAACATGGAACGCAAACTCCAAATGCACTAATACAGTGGTTCCCAAACTTTTTCGAGTGGCGACCCCCTTTTATAAACATTAAGTGACCCGCGACCCCCATAGAATTAAAAAGTCGAATTAGTAAGGAAATTAATCAGTACTTAAATAAGATTTTCTAGTAGACTTTCAATATGAGTTATTCTTGATAACTGTTTTAATACGATGAGTAAAACTGCATGCTATTAACTAGCCTCAACATTCATGAGGTTTTGTCATACTCAGCATTTAATTTATTTGTTTGTTTTGTTTTTAATTAGAGAAGGTGTTGAAATCTTTTCTCGCAAAGATATGTAGACACAAAAGGAACTAAAACTCGAAAGGCAATCAATGCCGACGAAAAAAACTCCATATGTTTTTGATGTGTTTCGAATGACTCGTCTCAAATGACGTTTTAGTTTTGAAGGTTTCATAGAGTCGTTGATGAGAGCACAGTACGCATTGTTTCTTCTCGATTGAGTTTTAAGTGATTCAGTTAGTAAAGCCGAATTTCAGATATTTTTCTAAATATTTATGTTTTTATTTTCATTGATAAGTTTTGGTCTACCAGTTGTCGACCCCACAGAAAGTCCTTCGCGACCCTCCTGGGGGTCGCGACCCCCAGGTTGGGAACCCGTGCACTAATACAACAATTTTCAAATTTCAGTTTTATGTACGAATTCAGATGAAAATTTTAAAATTTAAAACAAATATATTTTTTTGTAATTAGGCATGTATAAAAACTCACACATGTGAACACATACTAGATACAGTGGCGGAACTAGAAAAAAAGGGCCGCCCCGCAAAAAAAATTCTGGGCCCCCCCCTATATATATATATATATAAATATAAATATAAATAAATAAATAAATAAATAAATATATATATATATATATATATATATATATATATATATATATATATATATATATATATATATATATTGGATAGTCATTTCTGGCCTGATCGGGTTGTGAAAAAAAAATTCAATTTAAACAAATTACAACATGTCATGTGTGTGACTGCATTAGTCTGTTTTGAATTTTTTTTTTAGATTTAGAACTTGTTTATTCAATGTGTTTGCTGTAATACTGCCTACCCCATAGTCCAGTGGTTCCCAAACATTTTCGAGTGGCGACCCCCTTTTATAAATAGTAAGTGACCCGCGACCCCCACAGAATTAAAAAGCCGAAATTAGTATGGAAAATAATAAGCACTAAAATAAGATTTTCTAGTAGGCTTTCAATATGAACTACTCTTGATCACTGTTTTAATACCATGAGTAAAATTGCATGCTATGTACTAAACATTTGAGTCAATCAATTTTACGTTTGGGTATGAAAAAGTCTTGTTTATTTGCACTTCCAAGAACAATTTGATTTCAGATTTCAATTCAAAAACACGATTCACAATATTTCGTTTGACAGCCGGCGTACTGTAGTGTAGAAAAGCAAAACCTCGTTATCTTTATTCATGTCTTTCCTCAGTTCTTTGAAGGCTCCAGATTTAACATAATTTACGACTTACTAGCAATGGAGTCTTGATGACAAGGACAGTGGTTAGGGAGCTAAATCTTTTCTGTTTTATGAAAGCCCGATTTTGACATAAATATAGATGGAGCACTATCCGTACAAACTCCACATCCGTTTTAACCCATTTTAATCACCCCGTTTAAAAAAGTATTAATTTTCTCCATGCAATCATCACAAAATAGAAACTCTTCTTTACTTTCATCTGAATGAATATAGACAAAGACCAGCAACTGCGAACACGAACTCACGTCTGATGATTTATCAACTTGAAAAGCAAACAATGGTGAAAACTTGATTTCAATAAAAATGTGTAATTTAACATCTACTGACATGTCCGCTATTAGCCGCTGAATAGTATTATTAGACTGAGATATTTGTTGCATTCATGTCTTTCCTCAGTTCTTTGAAGGCTCCAGATTTAATATAATTTACGACTTACTAGCAATGGAGTCTTGATGACAAGGACAGTGGTTAGGGAGCTAAATCTTTTCTGTTTTATGAAAGCCCGATTTTGACATAAATATAGATGGAGCACTATCCGTACAAACTCCACATCCGTTTTAACCCATTTTAATCACCCCGTTTAAAAAAGTATTAATTTTCTCCATGCAATCATCACAAAATAGAAACTCTTCTTTACTTTCATCTGAATGAATATAGACAAAGACCAGCAACTGCGAACACGAACTCACGTCTGATGATTTATCAACTTGAAAAGCAAACAATGGTGAAAACTTGATTTCAATAAAAATGTGTAATTTAACATCTACTGACATGTCCGCTATTAGCCGCTGAATAGTATTATTAGACTGAGATATTTGTTGCATCTTTACTGCACTGGAATCCCCAAGAATTAACTTCACCATCTACAACATGCATGGTTTGATGATATTGTCTCCTATTGTGTTTTTTTTTGTTTGTTTGGCATTTTCTATCGCGACTTCATATGATGCTTGCATTAATGCTGTTTCCTTGGTGAAAACTTCCTATACAATCAAGTCTCTGACGTTTGCAAATATCTTCATGCCGACGAAAGAACTCCATATCTTTTTTAGTGTGTTCCGAATGCCTCGTCTCAAATAACGTATTAGTTTTGAAGATTTCATAGCCTCATGACTGAGAACAACTTTGTACAGTACGCATTGCTTCTACTCATTTCCAGTGATTTTAGTAAAGCCGAATTTCAGATATTCTTCTAAATATTTAGAATCCATCCATCCATCCATCCATCCATCCATCCATTCATTCATCCATCCATCCATCCATCCATCCATCCATCCATCCATCCATCCATCCATCCATCCATCCATCCATCCATCCATCCATCCATCCATCCATCCAGAAATAACGAATTAATAATCGCAGTTGTCAGTATGGAAATTGCGCTAAAAAGATTACATAAAACCACAATGTAAAACACTCCAGATTACATGGACTGGAAGGAGGTTTAAAAGTTTGATTTACAGCAGGGGTCTCCAAACTTTTCAGCCCGAGGGCCGCATTAATTATCAAAAATCAGCTCGGGGGCCAGAGTTTTTTCAGTCATCTCTTCGGGGTGGTAGAGCGCCCCCCCCCCTCGAAGAATATCTACTCCCCCCCACGAAATATATAAATATATAAAATATATAAATATATAAAATATAGAAATATATACAAATATATAATACAAAGTGTTGCCGTCAACCCCCGCACTCGGAGGAAAAAAATCTGAAAGAAACACTCTCGGGGGCCGACAACACACTCCAGGTCCAAGTTTGTTCTCAAATTGTTCTTCACGTATTTCATTCTTGAAAATGTACGTTCACACAGGTATGTTGTCCCGAAATTTGAAGGTACTTTGATGCAAAAGTTTTAGGAAAGTCCTCCTGGGCCAAAAACGCATATAAAGCCGCCCGTCCTTCTTTGAGCTAGTCTCTACGGAGGTCGTTTGCTTGCAATGCAATAACCTCCACCTGCAGTTCATCTGGGCAACTGGCCACATTTGCTTCAAATGGGTTTTGAAACAGTCTCACTTCTTCTGCCTTTGAATCCAAGTCAGAAAACCGCTACTGGAGCGGCAGCTGGGTTTTTTTGTATGATCTTGCATGCAAATGACTAGGGGGGGGGGGGGGCTGTAGCTTCAGCCATGAAGACCTTGCAGTGCTGCAAGTGCGTCAAGTTGTTGGCCTGTACTTGTTCCAAAAACATGACAAGTTTGGATCTGAAGGCCTTTAGGTGGGTGTATAGATCAGAAACTAAATTTCCCTCTTGTTTTTTTAGGTTCAGAAAATTTATATGTCGTGTTATGTCTGCAGCACAAGCCAATTTCTATACTTTTCTTCAGACATTAATGGCAGTGGCTTGCTTTCTTTTCTAGAAAGTCACCTATTTCCTTTCTTAACTTAAATACTCTGCTCAGAACTTTCTAACAACTTAGCCATCTTACTGGTAAATCTTGCGATTCTGTGTTTGTATCTTTCAACATGTCTCTGAACTATATATGGTTGAGCCCATATGAATATGTGACCTTTATAATTCACCATCTTCAACACATGATTCAGTACACTGCTTTTGTCCACATATTAAGCACACAAAGCTTGCTGGTGAATAAATAATACAGTGCAGGTACATTGATTGTAGAATGTTTATCTCATTACACATCTACTTCGCTTGTCCAACCAAGCCTTTCTTTATGCCCTTCTTGTTTTTACCTCCACCAACAGTAAGGTAACAGGTTAGTCCGGACTAAGTTATAATCAGTGCTTCTTTTTCAACTCATTGAATATATCATCTCCGGTAACAGTGTCATACATGCTATTTAAGGAAGCCAGCTCTTTTGTTATGTTCTTGTCTTCATCCACACCCCTAATAAACACAAGAAGTTGAGAAGTGGAACAGCTGTCCAGCGACTCACCCATTGCAATTGAAAAATTGCGAAACTTGCTTGCATTTTTCGCTATTTAAGTCACAACGTTTTCACCAATGTCTGTAACACGGTGGGCAACGGTAGTTGCACCCAAAGCTATATTTTCAAATTGTTTTGAATTTTCTGGGCAAAGTTCCTCAGCCACCTCCAATAAACATTTTTTTTTCCGTGGATAAAAATATCTCCGCGGGCCGGATGAGAGGACCTCGCGGGCCGCATACGGCCCGCGGGCCGTAGTTTGGAGACCCCTGATTTACAGGGTGGGTCGTTTCCGGGAAAATATTGGATTAGAAGTAAATTTTCTATAGTTTTTTATTTGCAACGATGGCCAACACAAAACAGAATGTTATTTTTTTTTCTGACGACCACAAGACGTGGTTAAAAAATACATACGTTTTGTTTATAAGTTAGCTATCGGAGGTGTAGCTAGGGGAGTGCGGGTTGGGCGACAGCCTCATGGGGAAAAACCTTAAAAAAATAAAAACCTTGTTTTGAGCTGCATTACATAAATACATAAATTAGAAGTTAAAATAATATACTGGTACTTAGCTTTTCGGAATCGTTTAAGTATTTTCAACATCGATTGTGTGACACAAACATATAAATCGTCAAGGGACAGTGACGCTTTATTGCCAATGTGAATAACTGTATAAATGGGGGTGCGCAAAGATTATAGAACGCCCCGGACGTAGGAATAGGTCGCTACGCCTCTGTGTCGGAAGTTTTGTTTTTGTTCATGAACATTAGAAAGACTTGTTCCAGCGAGGTTTGCTGTATGGTGTAGTGCTCAAAGTTCATGTCTTTCTTGGCTTTCTCCATCATTTTAAACATGGACGACAGGGGGAGGCTGTCTGCTGGGATTTGAAGGTGAAGGTAGGTGTCCATCTGTCCAAAGACCTGGGGAAACAATTTTAACAATTAATTAATTTAAACAATTAATTAATTTAAACAATTGATTTAAACAATTAATTTATTTAAACAATTAATTTAAACAATTATTTTAACAATTAATTAAAAATTAAATCTATAAAATTTAAGTAAAAAAATAATTTTAAAAAATTAATTTAAACTATTAATTTAAACAATTAATTTAAATAATTTATTTAAACAATTAATTTAAAAATATATTTAAAAAATAATTTAAAAAAATAATTTTAAACAATAATTTAAAAAAATAATTTTATCATTTAGTTCAAGCAATCGATTTCAATATCAACATAAGCTGAAACTAAATGTCCAGCTGTCCTGAGACCTATCGAAACAATTCGTTTAAACAACAAGGTGTGAGAGTAGGTTAACAAACAAAAAATCCGCCTAAAATAACTTTTAATTTTAATTTTAAACTGCCAATGTAGATAGGTATCCATCCTACAATTGCACTTCATCATATTAATATGTATACCAGGGGTTCCCAACCTTTTTTTTAAATCTAGAGCACATTCTAAAATATCGGTAGGGTGGCGGGCACCACCTATTTTAAATCGACAAGCTCCTTCCATAACTTGTCATTTTCCCATATTTTATGTTCTTATTTTCTTATAGTCATAATGTATTAATAAATAATAAACAAAAATGTTTCAAAATAATAGAATTTTTTGGCATTTTTTTTCAAATTGCATACACACACAAAGAAATGTATTTACAAAACGTAAAGAAAGTAGACAAAACACATAAATACAAAGAAAAAATTTAATTAAAAATATAATAAAGTCAATGTGATCGTCGGCATTGCATTTCATTGGCCAGAGCTTCATAATTAGGAGCGTATGGCGATAATCCTGTTAGCAGACAATCATAAAGATGCTCATCTGTGAGTCGAGATCTATATCTTGATTTTATTAAGTTCATGTTTGAAAACAATTGTCGCGACCCGAACAGGGCAGCAATCACAATGACAACAACACGGTTCCAGGCGGGGAATGCTTTTTGCACATCACTCCATGTACACGCGGAAAACCCGAAGTGAGCCGATGATCGCCGAAGCAAACAGAGTTAATAGCGTAAATAGTGTAGTCTGGCTCGCCGCTAGACAAGTTGGGACAAGTATCGAACATATTTAATAAACCTAGGCAGTAAAAAAAATATTAAAACTGTAACAAATGAATAAAAATAAATCATATTTTAAAATAATGTTTATGAAAAAAATTCTGTCTCTGTCGAATAGTGTTCTCTGTCGAATCGTTCAGCGGGCGCCATGGCGCCCGCGGACACAGGGTTGGGAACCCCTGATGTACTCCATCTTTTAATTTTACATAACAGACACAACGAATATACCATGTATATAATTTTTACCTCAGCCGCGTTGAATATCCTTAACATGTTGTCTATGATCCCTTGTATGGGTACCCCCGAGTCAGGCTTCAAGTGTACGGTTATTGTATAACCCTGGGCGTACTTTGTCTTCAGGTGTTGTGGACTGCCTAGACACATGAGCTTCCCGCCCACCATAATGGTCAGTCTTGTACAGAGGAGTTCACACTCTTCCATGCTGGAGATTACAGAGCAACGTGGATATAGTTGGATATAGGGGAGTAATGGAGCATGATGGATATAAACTGGATATAGATGGGTAATGGAACAATATGGATATAGCCGAATATTGAGAAGTAATAGAACATGATTGATATAGCCTGGATATAGGAAACTAATGCAGCATAATGAAAATATGCTGGATATATGGAAATAATTTAAGATTTTTTGGATATAGCTTGGATATAGGGGACTGAGCCCATTTAAAGGAAATTATCATTCATTTAGAAATAGACACAACACTCATAGGGCTCGTCGTGGTAGAGTCGGGAATCCCTTACTTAAGAGCTGAGATTAAGGCAAACCTGTGTGACGTCAAGACGAGGGTGGAGCCAAGAGATCTGACGTTTTGGAGCAAGTCCCATATGGCTCTCTTGGCCATAGCATCCATGCCAGATGTTGGTTCATCCAGCATGACAAACTGGGGGTCGCCAATCACGGACAGTGCTGTGGAAAGTTTGCGTTTGTTGCCCAGGCTGTGGAAGATACAATGATATGTCTGTTACTTGTCAGATAAATTATTCTTATGAACACTTGGTCTTCCTTTTCTATTAGTCCTGTGACGTGGCCTAGATGTTCATAGCGAAAGCGTGTAGGCACGGAGAGATTGGTTGTGAGAGTCGCCTCCCCTGACAAGTGTGTGAACTCTAGTGTGTAAGCAGTGTGTGGTATCGTCAACTTAGGGTAGCATGTAGTCAGTGTTTTTCGTCTCAATGTTCACTGTTTCTCTGTTGTATTTGGAAGATTATATTTGACTGTTATAAATGAACTGTGGATTCTGTTTTTAATTTGTGTTATGGCTGGTTCCAACATTAAATAGCCCACTGGCCATAACAAGTGAGGGCTTAAGTCCGGGATTTGAACACAACAAGAGTCGAAGTTTTTACCCCTAGACAAAAAGGAAAATATTGAGTATCAACAGCAGCGTTACAGCCGACTAGAAACTTTCTAGTATTAACGGCAGCGTCACAACTGACGGGAAAATTTCTAGTATTAACGGCATCGTTACAGCCGACTAGAAACTATCTAGTATTAACGGCAGCGTTACAGCCGACTAGAAAATGTCTCGTATCAACGGCAGCGTTACAGCCGACTAGAAACTATCTAGTATCAACGGCAGCGTTACAGCCGACTAGAAACTATCTAGCGATGACTGCTGCCGCTAATACTAGATATTTTCTAAGACTTAGTATCAACAGCCACAAAACTTGTGAACAGTGCTGCAGACATCATGGCCATAAATAATGAAGTTAAAAATACAGTGATAAAGCTAGGAGAGAAGTTGAGAGAACTTGCTAGCTACAAAGTGGACTACATTAGCATAGCAAGTAAGTTATCAAATTTTAGAGCTACAATATTAGCATCTCAGTCCTTGAGCACATCAGAAGCAAATCATTGCGTCGCCACCAACATGAAAGCTCTAGCTACTGTCCCACTTGCAGAGGACCTAGTCAACCAGACACGCAATCTAGGCAACAAGTCAACAGAGGGGAGAACTAGGTCAAGGGCAGCTGAGCAGAAGGCAACTTTAATCCAGAATCAAGTTCATAGTCTTTTCAAAGATACTAATGAGACTTTAATCATAGTTAAAGACTGTGATGTCAAGATAGCAGGATCGAAACAAAAATGTTTGGACTCCAGAGCCAGAGCTGAGCAGAAGAGCCAGAGCCAACGTCAGTGCCACAGCCAGTGCCAGAGCCCGTGCCAGAGCCAGTGCCAGAGCCAAAACCAAAACCTTGTTGACTTATAGACTAGACGTATAAAGCTATAAGTAGTTAATTCATGCGTACGTCCAACATTTTATTGTAGAGATATAATTTTTTACTCGCCATCATTTATTTATAGGGAGATTTAAAGCATGTAAAAGGTCAGATAAATATTGTATTAAAATTTTTACTGTACATGTTAAGTAGTTGTGCAGGATAGACCTTAGAAATGCTGTTTAATTTAAGGAAAAATAAGAAACCACTTTTTTTTAGGGGGGAGGTGTGACGTGGCCTAGATGTTCATAGCGAAAGCTTGTAGGCACGGAGAGATTGGGTGTGAGAGTCGCCTCCCCTGACAAGTGTGTAAACTCTAGTGTGTAAGCAGTGTGTGGTATCGTCAACTTAGGGTAGCATGTAGTCAGTGTTTTTCGTCTCAATGTTCACTGTTTCTCTGTTGTATTTGGAAGATTATATTTGACTGTTATAAATGAACTGTGGATTCTGTTTTTAATTTGTGTTATGGCTGGTTCCAACATTAAATAGCCCACTGGCCATAACAGTCCTCTGCACTAAATCCTACTCAATGTACTTTTACATTTCTGTTCAAAATTATAAACATCGTATTTAAGTATTAGGATTACGATTAAATTGTACTGATTGCAAATGCTGATAAAAAAATATCTTGTGTCATGCGTCACCTTAGAAGTAGAAGCCAAATGATATTGTACCCTCCAAAGTACAAAATGGAAATTGTGAAAAAGAAATGAAAACATGATAATGATGGGAGTAGGACAATACCCACGGAGCAAAATGGGTAGGGGTGGGGGAGCACTTTCGAAGGAGGGAGGAGTAGGAAGTTGGGGGGGGGGGGGGTAATTGACGGGGTATTGACCTAGACCCAGAGGCGTATCCAGGTTTTCGTTGTAGGGGGAGCGAAAAGAGCAAAAAAAGGCGCCGAATTTTTAACTGAGGTATATATATATATATATATATATATATATATATATATATATATATATATATATATATATATATATATATATAATTACTATCTGTATGTCATTACTTCGCTATGATGTAAAAAAATAAATTGAAAGTATCACTCAGAAGAAATAAGAAAAAACACACAATGTAGGCCGACAAAACAAAAAGAAATATACACACTACAACCAAAAACAATGATCGTACACAATCTGTTTTGTAATTCTTGTAAAAAAATTATTTTACATAATAATTCCTAGGAAATTATTTAAGACAAGTGAAATAGGGGAAATAATCACTCCCTTAATATAAATATGTATATATCTACACATTTAATTATAAATGGCAAAACAAATAAATAATTCCTTTAGAATATAATGAAATTGTTTAACAATATTCGATTTTAAAAAATGTTTTTATCTATAATCAGAATTTAATATATCGTCATCATAAATGCTAAAGTATTACAGCATAATGAAAGTTTTTAAAATCAGAGTTGGTATAAAACCACGCTTTTCGATATTATAGAAAAACACGCGGAATAACAGCCGAATTTTAACTAAATATCGGCCTTTTTAGTTCAGATCATATATTGTTAATTAACTACTGCTTCTTATTGTTTTTTAAAGGTAATTTTTTAACATAGTGATAGGTATGGATTAGATCACACACCTTTTTACTGGTAATTGCAAAAAACAATATTCACAGAGTTTTACATTTAAAAGGTAATTTTCTGGCGGCATGGTAGTAGTGGTATTATGACAATATTTTTTTTTACAGAGGGATCCATGGGGGAGGTGGGTTGTAACTGTTCATATAATTTGTAATCGTTATCACTATCGCCCAAACTGTAAGAATACTACTACTTCATCGTGATGACGTTGTTAACCTTGTCAAAAGTTTCCCACCACTACGCAGTTTGCTCATAAGTAAATTTAAGTAGAGGTGCCACATCAGTTGTATTTGTTTCTGTATTGTAATTAAAAAATAATAATCACACGATTCAAACTGTATATATAAAGTAATTATGTGTGAATTTTTATGTATACCATTTTCTAATTCAATCATTCGTAAGCAAATACATTATACAGTTGCCTTAAACTTAACACCCTTCTTGCCAAGTGGTACTACCCGTTGAGGTTTTTTAAACATTGCAATGCATTATAATGGTTATTTTTAGAATGGCAAACTGCTGCAGCTGTTAATATGTGTTGTAAACGTAGACACTACTAGACTAGTACAATAATGCTTAATTGCTGCATGAAAAGAAATCTTGTGATTTACATAGATGTGCCGACCAAAAATATTTTTTTAACAAATATCATTGATTAAAACTTTGTTTAAAAAGTTTCCAAAAAAGGCGCCACTTTGCTGAAAATGGCCAGAGGGGGAGCGGCCGCTCCCCCTGCTCCCCCCCTGAGTACGCTACTGTCTAGACCCGATTATGATGCAGGAAAATCAGGTTGTTAAAGATATACATAGAGTTTCGCTTTATACCTTTACAACAGACTGTACTTTTTGTATTTATATCTATATTGTATTTAGCATGTACTTTGTAATGAAGAAGAATACCTGGCCAACGGAAGGTCTGAGCTATTAATTATATTTTCCCATGCTTTTTGCCTATCTCGCTTACTGACGTTGGGGAGAGAATGTATGATTAATATTAAGATGCCACTAACAGTTTTATCCAGAGTTTCTTCCAGCCATCAGTGCCCCCCCCCCCCGAAGAAAGTCTACCGCCCCCCCCCCCCCCCCCGAAGATTTCAAGTGCCCCCCCCCCCGGAGAAAAAAGTCTGGAAGAAACACTGGTTTTATCAACCACAGAGAATTGTTACAACCTGTATTTTTTTGTCTCTTTATCGGCATGCAGGTCCAGCAACACAGCACTAATCAGGTAATCTGTAACACCTGGAAGACTTTTCTCTGGAACTCCCCGCAGACGACCAAACAGGTAAAGCGACTCCCTGCCTGTGAGGTCTCCATGAAGATAATCGTCCTGCGGGCAATAACCCAACATTTGTTGGACCTGAAATAGGAGAACAAAAGTGGCCTCCCGTGTTGAGATTCAGAAAAAACTCTACTCGTAACAATTAATTTGAACTTAAGAGGTCTTTATGCTAAGCTAATTGGCGTTAGGGCAGTTGCTCTTAAACTTGAACTCGTTCCAACCCCTAGGATTCGGTGAATGACTATAGACATACCCTCATCGCCAAACACAGAATTTGAAGTTAATGTACGGGGAAACATTACAAATTAAATATTGTAATGCTTACTTTGTTATTGATTTGACGTGAAGCCCATCGGTAACATAGGGCTGCAGCTTCACCCCTCGGGGGTTCCAGCCCAACGCTTGTCTTGTTGACATTCTCTCTTCCCAGTGTTTGCCAGATTCATCCCCATTAGTGCCCTAAATATTCTTGTATATCATTTTCTATGTGCGCACTTTTCTGTGTGCGCATGTTTCTGTTTGCGCTAATTTCTGGTCCCGCATATTCCTGCTTGTGCAAATTTTTCTATGCGCATTTTTCTCTTTACGCATTTTTTGTGTGCACATTTTTCTGTGTTCGCTTTTTTCTGTGTGTGCTTTTTTTCGTTCCGCATCTTTCTGGGAACCTCTTTTAATATCCTTGTATATCAGCTAATGTTTTATAAATCTCCACAGGTCGTCATTGGATCTTTTTTTCAGGCCATCTTTTTTTATGATTCGACGCAAGTATCTATTTGTAAAAGAATGTAGCCTGCTGTTATCTGACACTGTAACGCTTAGGGTCTCTAAACCATATTGCAATAGTGCCTTAACAATAATTATTGTTGAAGAATCTCATCTTGCTCTGGAGTTATTGGGCTGTGCAGTTTTGTATCGTGCGTAGGGTACTCAATGCACAGCTAGACTTGTTGATACGACTTTTTATTTCCTCGCATTTGTTGGTCGCATTCCACATTTATGTGAATTTATCTTTCGTAAATCTTCTCCACTTAGCTGGGTGGGGAGGTCATGTTTTTTATTCATTACGGCGACCTCTGTTTTATTTGATAATACTAACAGGGATTTTCGCCAGAGAAAGTTTTTGTATGAATCGAGGGGTTTATGTTCAGGTTATTTTTAATGTGAATACCAGCCAACTGATATGTAAAATTGCAAATATACAATACCATATGGTAACTGCCGTATAATATCTGCAAAACCTTTTAATTCAGTTGAGAAAGTAACAAAACATTCGTGAGGTATACTGCCAGGACAACATTCAGCATAAAGATGTTTTGCCTACCTTAGATAAGTTAGAAATGAGTCAATAGAAATGTAGTTAGTATCTACTTTAGACACGTTAGAATAGAGACAATAGAAATGCAGTTACTAACCAACTTTATACAAGTTATAATTGAAACTACAGAAATGTATTTACTACCTACTTTAGACAAGTTAGAATTAAGACTGAGACCATTGAAGTAAACATCGCCTGATGTACTAGCGTATTCCCCCGTCAGTATTTTGAATGTTGTTGTTTTCCCTGCGCCATTTTGTCCAAGAAGTCCAAAACATTCATTTTTTGGGATACCAAGGCAAGTGTTTTCAACTGCTGTTAACACTTGGTCCTTGACAATATATTTCTTGCTAACATTCACCAGAATCAATGCATCTAAATGTGGGGAAAAATGTACTTTCAATATATGTATATGTATATATATATATATATATATATATATATATATATATATATATATATATATATATATATATATATATATATATATACATATATATAATATATAAAGCTCAATTGAGTATGTATAAATACATGTTTTTCGTTGACATACTTCGATGGATTAAAGTGTTAGAATATTATCGTGCGCATTTGTCTAAATTTATTAGTTAAAAAATTACTATTGAAAGTGTTGGGAAATAATTTTCATTTTTCAAACAGATAGTAATAATTTTTGGCATGTTCATTAAACACAAGTTTAAAAAAAATATCATCTTTTACAAAAATTCTAATTATGTCTTTATTTAGTCCTATAGCACTTACTTCCCTTTGATAAACTAGGAAAACACAATTACTTCCCTTTATAAAACCATTGCATTAGTGGAAAAGAATTTACTTTTTATTACTTTGTTTTGGTGTTGGGAAAAAAATAATTACATAATTAGCGGGGATTGATCAAGTGCAAATGTTGTAGGTATTTTACGGATAAGCTTTGAGTATTATAATTGTTCATTAAATTGAAACAGGGGCGTTCGTTTAAGTGAGTGCAAAAGACTATGAATAAGTTGGGGTACTATAGTCGTTTATTAAGCTAAAACAGGCGATTCCGTTGGGTTTGCGTTAGTGGTTGCGGTTTGATTTGGTTCGTTTTTGTTCTTTTTTTCGTTTTTGTTTGTGTTTTTTTCTTTGGGTTTGTATTTGTGTTTTTGGTTGGTTTTGCGTTTGGATTTGGTTTGTTTTCGTTTGCTATTTCGTTTTTTTTGTGTGTTGTTATTGGTTGGTATTGGTGTTTGTGGTTGTGGTTGGGTTTGTTGTTAGGTTTTTGTTTTCGTTTGTATTTGTAATTGTGTTAGCGTTATGTTTGCGTTTTGTTGTTTTGGTTTTGGTTGGTTGTGGTTTGGGTGGGCAATGCCGGGTTTATGATGATTACTAAACACACAGGTGATGGTCTTTAACAGAAAGGTTTTTCACAGAAGCCAGAGCAGGGCCTGGCCGGGACGGCTAGTCTAATATATAAAGCTCAATTCTGTATGTAACACATATGTTTGTCTTGGATCTTCGATGGATTTAAGTGTTAGATAATTAAAGTCCTTATGGTCTAAATTTATGAGTTAAAAAATTAATATTGAAAGTTTTGAGAAAAAATTTTCATTTATCAAACTGAAAGTAATAATTTTCGGCATGTTCATTAAACACAAGTTTTAAAAAAATATCATCTTTTACAAAAATTTTAATTATGTCTTTATTTAGTCCTATAGCACTTACCTCCCTTTGATAAATTAGGAAAACACAATTACTTCCCTTTATAAAACCATTTTTTTGCATTAGTGGAAAAGAATTTACTTTTTATTACTTTGTTTTGGTGTTGGGAAAAAAATAATTACATAATTAGCGGGCATTGATCAAGTGCAAATGTTGTAGGTATTTTACGGATAAGCTTGGAGTATTATAATTGTTCATTAAATTGAAACAGGCGCGTTCGTTTAAGTGAGTGCAAAAGACTATGAATAAGTTGGGGTACTATAGTCGTTTATTAAGCTAAAACAGGCGATTCCGCCCCGGGCTAGACTGTGAGCACTTTGCGTTTATGTTCGCGTTAGTGTTTTCTTTGTGTTTAGGTTGGGTTTGCGTTAGTGGTTGCGGTTTGATTTGGTTCGTTTTTGTTCTTTCTTTTTTCGTTTTTGTTTGTGTTTTTTTCTTTGGGTTTGTATTTGTGTTTTTGGTTGGTTTTGCATTTGGATTTTGTTTGTTTTCGTTTGCTTTTTTTTTGTTTTTTTTTTTTGTTTTTTTTTGTTGGTATTGGTGTTTGTGGTTGTGTTTGTTGTTAGGTTTTTGTTTTCGTTTGTATTTGTAATTGTGTTAGCGTTATGTTTGCGTTTTGTTGTTTTGGTTTTGGTTGGTTGTGGTTTGGGTGGGCAATGCCGGGTTTATGATGATTACTAAACACACAGGTAATGGTCTTCAACAGAAAGATTTTTCACAGAAGCCAGAGCAGGGCCTGGCCGGGACGGCTAGTATATATATATATATATATATATATATATATATATATATATATATATATGTATATATATATATATATATATATATATATATATATATATATATATATATATATATATATATATATATATATATATATATATATATATATATATATATATATAATATTTATAACTGCATTTCGCTTACCCTAGGACTAGACTGTCCTAATTCTAGTTTTCATTTCAAAAATATTCATAACAGAACGAGCTTTATTTATTCTGAACTCTCTCTATTAATCACTTTGTGAACATAAATCACTGTTTTGTAATAATGGTAAGATATATAGCCACGATATATATATATTATATATATAAATAAATATATATATATATATATATATATATATATATATATATTTATTTATTTATTTATTTATTTATTTATATATATAGTACATACATTTAAGGCTACCGTATATATATATATATATATATATATATATATATATATATATATATATATATATATATATAAGTTAGGTATAAAATATTATCACCTATCCTATAAATTTAAAAATATATATTTTTTAATATGAATGGCCTATTAAATATAAAATATTAATTATTATATATTAGGGTATTGAGGCCCACCTATTTAAATTAAATATATATATATATATATATATATATATATATATATATGTATATATATATATATATATATATATATATATATATATATATATATATATATTTATATATATATATATATATATATATATATATATATATATATATATATATATATATATATATATATATATATATCATATAGATCTTTACGCAATATGTATATAGTTCTATGCATTTAGATTTTAACAAAATTTGAAATCACACACAGTTTTTTAAAAATTGTTACTCATACATTACACTAGATGTACCTGTGTCAAACAACAGCTTTAAATCAGTTTTTAAAATGCGGTTTTGTTCAGCGTCTACGTCGTCGTCTGCACTGGTGACTGTTTTATTAACAATTACCCTTCCAGCCTTTTCAATTTTACTCACAAGTCGATCTTCTAAGACCTGAAACCTGCAAGAAGAAATGTATTTTCTATCCGATTATTAAAATAGACGCCAAAATTGGAATAAAAATTAATTATTAAGAATTTTTTAAAGAAACTAACACCCGAAGAATAGATTAAAGTTTTGAACACATTTTTAGAATTGTGCATGTTTTAACTAGCGTGTTGCTAAAGATCTAAGAATTATAGAAAATAATAGATGCTTTAAAAAGATAAAACACGAAAGGTGAGCTGTGACTTCAAATTAGATGTGTATAGTAAAGTTGTCTTTCAGACTTGGCGGGACACCGGGCAGGTGAAGTAGAGCTCACCTGTTTCTGTGACCCAGCATATGATCGATAGTGTAGTCAGCGTCATGCTCGGCCGAAATCGGTAATTTTAGAAGACAAAAACATATTGGCTTAGATGTGATGTATTTTAGATGTAGGGGATAAGGGGTGAGGTCTGGGTTTTTGTGACGTCCTGTGACAGTTTGAAGGAGGAGAAGGGGGTAAGATAAAAATCGTCAACAAAAGTGATGCCATTTATTGATGACCCCCTTAAACTGACAGTTATTCAAAGGATAACGGATGGTCTAGTATTCATAAATTTGTGTAGATAAAACTACATAGATGTAGATCTATACCGTTAGCGAATTATACATTAACATACCCTATACAAAAATATGTATTGTTTACCTTAGAAGTATAGTGTTTTTATATTCCATGAAGAAAAGTAAACCCCAGGCACATAGTGCGTGTATTGCAAAGAATACGGAGTGCTCTTTGGTATATTCCATCGACTCTAAAAGAAAAATTCATGTCAAACACATTCTATCTGTATTAGTACTTACATTTATTTCCATCTAAGTTCTACTAGCAGGCTACATGCTGAAGCATTAGTGTAAAAACAGGAGAGGTGGAGGAAGAGTAAGTTTTATATATATTTTTTTTTGAAATAATTCATTTTGAACACCTTTGAGAATTGTTCACAATCGAAGTAGAAAATTACGGTAACAAATTATTTACCGGTTTTCTATTTCGATTTTTGACTAGGGAAATAAACAACATTGAGGGCCTGTGACCTCCTTTGCCAAATTGAGGGGGAGGGGCGCGTTTTCACCAACATGATTAGGAATTCCGCCAAACTTTTAAAATTGACAGTGTGTTTTCTAATATAGACCGGTCACTTTACGAACTGACTGAGGTGCCCTGGACAATGTCCGATATATGTTACGTTGTGATGACGTATTAGTTATTCTGGCTGCGATTACATTGTGAGTAATGTATTCCCCGTATCGTGTTTGTACGGCATTTATGTTTATGCCGACATGGACAAAAGGCCGACAGGGATAAAAGACCAACAGTCTGCCAAATGAAACTATCCACATTCTTGTTATTTTCCAAATATAGCAAAATACGGACTACTACTGTATGCTATAGCCAAGTTAATGATAACAAAGTTAGGCAACCATATAAGAACTTCTTCTTCTTCTTCGTTCTTAATTTTTAGTGTTGGAGGGGATCGAGCCTTATCTGCCAGAGGGTTTGAACTCGAGACTTTTTCGCATTTATCAACAATTAGCTTTGGCCGACTCGACCATGCTTCAATCACAATTAAGGATACGTGTCAACTGGTTATGCGCCATTGAGGCCATTGACTCCGATTTCAGCCTGCTTTTCTTTTTGAATTTGCTTCCATAGCCTTTGTCCAACCAAGAACCAGCTACAAGGCAGCAGTAGTTTGATTTTGGAGTTGTCTCTCCTAGAAGAGTGGCTGTCCCCAGCTAACGAGCCTCATCTGCCCGAGAGTTCGAACTCGAGAGTTTTCGGTTTAGCAACCATGAGCTTTACCGACTCGACCACGCCGACCCCCCCCATATAAGAACGAAATCAAAGGTAGTTGGCGTCACCTTCTACATCACGGTGCAACAAAACGGAGTATCAAATAGACAGTCCAGCGTTGGATGCTATCTTTTTACTGTAGCAATACGCTTCAAGCTACACGAAAAGAAACCATTGCCTCAAACAAAAGGGGAATACAAAATAGATATTCTTCTTTCTTAATTCTAGTGTTGTAAGGGGTTTCTACAACACAATAAAGTATTACGTGTCAACTGGTTATGCGCCACATAGGCCGTTGACTACGATTGTCTTGATTTGCTTCCACAGCCTTTGTACAACCAATAACAAAATATAAGGCCTCCTCTGCAAAGGTTCAGCAACCTCGAGCTTAACCGGCCTGACCATGCCAACCTCCATGAAGTAGATCGACCATCGAGGTTTTTTTTAGTCGGACTACGTGATGCATGATAAAATTAGATTTGCATTCTCGTTTTTTATACAAAATTGAGTTCTTGTCATTTCAATACATGCCGTTGCTTAATTGTAAAGTCAAATCAGACAAGATTTCTAACATACTTCCAAAACTGACAACCTATCATGGCCATAATATAAACAAAAATATTTAAAAAGTTAACACACACCATACCAAATAAACATTTATATTTTAAAATGGGGATCATGTTCCCCATTATTAATTTTACTCGAAAATGTATATCTCTGCACTGGACAACGAGATTTCGAATTTTACGTGAGAGAGACTGAGACTTACAAAACCCTTTTGGCTTCATGTTACTACCCCTTATTGAAAATGCATATACTATTTATGATATTTGAAAATGAGAAGCGACTGAGTTATTCAAAATGTCATAAAATTTTATCATATTGTAAAATGCGCGGATAGTGTACATACATACTTTTAACAGTGTCCGCCCCCCCCCCCCGAAAAAAGTCTACCCCCTTCCCGGAGAAAAAAGTCTTGAAGAAACACTGATAGTGTAGTCAGCACTATGCCTTTACGTTTGCTAACTTCAGTCAGGTACCCTTTAAATCCGCTCTCTCTCTCTCTGTATATATATATATATATATATATATATATATATATATATATATATATATATATATATATATATATATATATATATATATATATTTACATATATAAACGTTTCATTTAATAGGTAATTAGAAATACCCCTTACCTTGTAAAGTATTAAGTGCGATCCCCGGTGGAACGTAATAATATTTCGTGTATGGTGATGTGACCGCAAGAACGTAAAGCACAAAAGTGGTGAATTCCGCCGCGTAAGATTTATCACTTAGCATCAGAAAGGTTAAAACTTTCAAACAGATGAAACAAGTTTGTGTTATACATTTTACCACACAATTTTAAATAGTATTAAATTAAATAGTTTTAAAAAAAAATAAATAATTTTTTTTTTTTTGACTTGGTGCGTTAAGAACTGCGCAAAGCCACCCTTATCCCCTCCTGGGGTATTCTAAACACACCCAACACAGAAATTATTTTTCGATGCAGTTTTAAGTTATTTAATTAGTTGAAGTAAATATTGATATAAAATAGACATTATTAATTAATTATTTTGTAAAATCAATTACAACTAAAACTACACCACGAAATCATATTAAGCTTCACATTTTAATGACATATAGAGAGTTCTATGATTTACTATGGGCCAGGGCAAAGTTTGGCCGGAACGGCGAAAACTGTTAATGACATTCGAAACTAAAGCGAATATAGAATTTGGCTACTATTAGGATTTTTATAAGATTTGCATAGGAACTGAATCATGGTTTTTGTGTTTAGAAAAAGGTAGAAGACATTATTGCGTAATAATGGAAAGAGATATAAACACGCATGTTTTTTTTTACCATGATACTTTAGTAGATTCAGAACACAATGGTTCTAATATACTCGAAAAAATGAAAATCGTAATTAGAACAGTCTGGCTCAAGGGAAGATATATATATATATATATATATATATATATATATATATATATATATATATATATATATATATATATATATATATATATATATATATATATATATATATATATGTATGTATATATATATATATATATATATATATATATATATATATATATATATATATATATATATATATATATACTGTGCATTTAGTATTATTGATAATATTTGCCCCGATTATCCATTGGGTAACATTGTATTCGCAAAAGGACACAAACAATAGTCAACTCCAGTATACATATCATCACACCACCCTATACGACCATTGCCAACGGGCCTTACCCAATACCAGTCTACCATCACACGCCAGTCTCCCCCGAACCCCCCCCCCCCCCCCCCCCCCAACTCATTTAACAGCCCGAACGTGTTAGCCAGAGCTGTATTTTCTATTTCGGTCATGTTACAAATAGCTCAATTATATGACACAGAAAATGTTTTTTTTTTAAATATACGTACAATTCACTATAATATACACAATCAAAGTGATTATTGCGATCGGGATTCTTAGAAAAAACGTCTGGAAGAAATAACAGAATGGGAGGATGTCCAGCATAAAAAGCAACTGAGTAAAAATGAGCATTGGCAGGTGTAGAATTAGTCTGTTCACCGACTTCTGACACAGAATGACTATCCAGAACATGGCCGCAAAAGCTATTTGAAGGCAGATATCAAATAGGTAATTTGCGAACCAGAAAATCCAAAATGGGACTCCTGTCATAGCTTCAAGCTGTCTGGCCCCGCTCTGAAAATAGAACATAAGGTTTAAACAGGTATATATTGTAATGTATTATACACAATACAGCTACTATTGTATTTGTAGATAATTTTCGCGATTTTATACTTATAGGGGGTGGGCGTGGTCGGGTCGGTAAAGTTCATGGTTGCAGTGTTTCTTCCAGACTTTTTTCTAAGGATTGGGGGGGGGGGGGCACTTGATATTTTCGGGGGGGGGGGGGGGGGGGGGGGGCGGACAACATTTTTCGGGAGGGGGGTGCGGACACTGGTAAAAGTATATATTTTCTATATAAATTCCATTTCATTGGGGGGGGGGGGGCGGTAGATTTCCTTCGGAAGGAATTCTGCATGGTTTCTAAACCGAAAAGTCCGGAGCTCCCACGCTGATAACTCGACAGCTGGGGACAGAAACCTATCTAGGAGAGAAAACTCCAAAATTAAACTACAAAGTTGGGTCTTGATGTATAAAGGCTATATAACGCAAAACCAGAAAGAAAAACAGACTGTAATCAGCCTGTATTGTTCATAACAAATAGACACGTAATGCTTAATTGTATTGGTGGAAATCCCTTCAAACATAAAAAAAATAAGAACGAAGAAGCAGAAAAAAACATTTTGTATTCAGAAAAGACTAAGCCTCTAAAAATTATTGTTGTGAATTTAATAAATTCGCATATGCATTGATCCACTTTTGGAATATCAGCGTTAAGATGCATACACGCAAATTTATATGGGTAAATTAGGCATCTGCGATTGACTTAAAGAAAACTTAATTTGCTGTTCTCTAACCAAGTCAATGTGTACTACAACTGTGATTTAAATTCGCCAATACATAGATAAATGGAAACTGATACTTACATTTCTTTCGTTGACCAACCAGCTAATTATGACTGCTTCTTCTTCGTTCTTAATTTTTAGCGTTGGAAGGGATCGAGCCTTATCTGACAGAGGGTTTAAACTCGAGACTTTTTTTTCAAATTTATCATCCATGAGTTTTATGCCGACTTGACCACGCCTCCACCGCAATTAAGGATGCGTGTCAACTGGTTATGCGCCATTGAGGCCATTGACTCCGATTTCAGCCTGCTTTTCTTTTTGGATTTGCTTCCATAGCCTTTGTACAACCAAGAACAAACTACAAGGCAGCAGTTGTTTAATTTCGGAGTTGTCTCTCCTAAAAGAGTGGCTGTCCCCAGCTAACGAGCCTCATCTGCCCGGGGGTTCGAACTCGAGACTTTTCGGTTTAGCAACCATGAGCTTTACCGACTCGACCACGCCGACCAATTATGACTGCGAATTCGTAGATGAATGGAAACTGATACTTACATTTCTTTCGCTAATCAACCAGCTAATTATGACTGTGTGCAAGGAGAGTAGAGCTAAAAAGATGCACAATACACTCAACATCGGAATTTGGAATTCTCTCGAAGATACATGGTCGGGTAGAACCCCACTTTGTATGGAGTAGTTAGTGCCAAGCCAGGCTCGGATGTGGGCGTTCAAGAAAAGATCTACCTAAAGGTCCATTAAAGTTACGCTGTTAGATCATTAAGTTTATATTAATACATAAATCAGCGCTTGGTGGCACTGCTAAAATGATTGAAATAGGTATTTTATATGTATGCAGAAATTCAGCTTGGTAACATGTTATTTCGGTAAATGTGCATATAAATGAGTATATATATATATATATATATATATATATATATATATATATATATATATATATATTTATTTATTTATTTATTTATTTATTTATTTATTTATGTGAACAATCTTACCGCGACGGGCTCACTGTGTACGTAATAACCCTGATAGTGAACGATACTAGGACTAGGTGGTTGGTTAATCTCAAAGCCCATCATCAGCTCCGTTTTGTATTTTCGCAAACTGTTGGCGCGGACCCATTGAAATATATTTGGGTTAAATGCCTACCGTAGAGAAGAGAGTTATGTTTATAATTTAGATTTTTTTTTTAAAATAAGAGAGGAACAATACAAACAATCATCAAACGGTCGTAAATAGGCTGTGCCCAAGTAGTCAGGCAAATAAATTAAATCGATCCAATCTCGACATACTGACATGGATTACTCTTAAAATAGCAATCAAACAATAATAAAAATACGACAAACCGGAAGGGTTATTTCAAATAACCTTTTAAAAACAGCTAACACCGGTATTTTTTTTTCTTCGCTGCCACCAGTTTTTTTCGTGGCCCACCGAGTTTTTTTTTCTTGGCGGCCCAACATGTTTTTATTTTCTTGGTGGCCGACCAAGTTTTTTTCAGGGGCCCCGCCGATAGCCCAGTCCACCCCTTCCTATACGCATAATGAATCCCACACTGTATTGATACAATTTTCGTAGTTTGAACACATCGCAGCAATTTTTTAAATTTGGAAATATTAATTTACATATGACTCAAAACACTTTGAAAACAAATAACAAAACTTACCAATGACTTGTTGGGCTCTACCACAAGCACGTCAGGAGGAAGAAGAGATATCAACCCGTGGTAGATGGCCACAGAGTTGTTGTCGCTTGGTTTACCAACAACGATGGTGATATTTTTGTAGTCACTGAGCTTAAAGTCCATTGGCAGAGTAACGTCAACGTAGGTACCTGCTACGTACGTCGCAGTCAAAAATAGATTCACCAGCAACACTGTTATCAGTGTCAGGCTGCTCCGTTTCAAAATAATCATTCTTTTTATCAATATAGCTTTGAATTGACACATGTGTAGTTTGACTCCTGTGTTTGTTGCTGCTATCCTATCAGGTTTGGTCTCTGGTGAAAAACAAACAAACAAAAAAAAAACAACAAAACTTGTAACTATATACAAGATACGTCGAGTGTACTTCACCGTTTTTTTTTACAGTGTGTTTTTAAATTAGAGTAAGGCTTAGAATCGAAATCCTTTGATTAGCTACACTTTCTTAAAATTCGTTTTAATTAGTAGGCTTTGCAATTATTTATTAATACTTTACAAATGTTACACGTAGTGTTGATGTCCAAATTAGTGACCTATTTGTAACTATACATTGAAAAACGAAAATTAAAGAAAACAATGCTATAATGTCTTGCTGTGACTAAGTGGCATAGCGAGGTCGGGTGTCACCCGGTGCGGCACTTAATGGTGTCACCCCCCCCCCAGAGGCGTAGTGACCCTTCCCGGGGACAAACTTTCAAACGTTCGTTTTGCACCCCCCCACCCTTAAACTTTCGATTTGCACTCCCCCCCCCCCTTCAAGTTTTTCTCTATATATTTTGCTATTGTTTTCCCTTGGTGTCACCCCCCTAAATGGTGTCACCCGTTGCGATCCGCACCCCCCACCCCCCCCCCCCCCCTCGCTACGCCTCTGCTGTGACTGTTTAGTAAAAATGGACTTAAAAAAAGTCGGATTCTCGTGAAGATTATATATATATATATATATATATATATATATATATATATATATATATATATATATATATATATATATATATATATATATATATATATACATATATATATATATATATATATATATTTATATATATATATATATATATATATATATATATATATATATATATATAGGCCTATATATATATATATATATATATATATGTTGTCTTGAGATGGTTGGCCCCTTGTCTACCTAGCTCTGATAGGCAATATCTTGAGAGAGTGGGCCCCAATGTCTATAGATAGATAGACGAAATGTGATAAATAAGTAAAAGATCTAATTCTCTGCCATCTGTTAAATTTTGAGTAATTTCCGTTATTTCCGAATTCTCAGAAATGCATGTGAATTTATAAAGGTACTAACATTCCGCACTATTATACACATATTGTTTGCTGTTTACTTGCTGCGCAATTCCTTTTTCTACTAGATAATATTCTATTTTAAAAAGTTTATGTTATGAAAAATTTATTAAAAATCATGACTGTATCCCGTGTTGACATCCGCTGTTGTTTTATATAAGAATATTCGAGAACATTTAGGGGAGATCAAACCCGTTTTAATTTGTAAGTAACACGATTTACTCATCATCTGTTCCTTTTTGTGCACACTGCTCACGGTGCCGCCACAAAAAGCTTCCTCCACTTTTATAAGTCTCCGTCAATTTTCCTGGCAGTCCCCCATGACAGTCCTTTCTCTGACAGAATCTCCACGTCTCCCTTGGCCATCCCTGCTTTCTTTTTTCATTGAAGCGTAGCACGATTGGCGAAATGGAATTATGTAATTTGGAAGCAGGAATCGCTACGAGTTTTTCACCATGATGCCGATGTTCTAGTAACTACCAGTTACTTCTTTCTTTTTCTTCTTCGTTCTTAATTTTAGTGTTGGAAGTATACGTGTCAACTGGTTATGCTCCATTGGGAAGTATACGTGTCAACTGGTTATGCGCCATTTAGAAGTATACGTGTCAACTGGTTATGCGCCATTGAGGCCATTGACTGCTTTTCTTTTTGGCTATGCTCCCATAGACTTTGTCTACAAGGCAAAGTTGTTTGATTTTGGAGTTGTCTCTCCTAGAAGAGTGGCTGTCCCCAGCTAACTAGCCTTATCTGCTCGAGGGTTTGAACTCGAGACTTTTGGCTTAGCAGCCATGAGCTACACCGACTCGACCAAGCCGACCCCTACTACCAGTGATTAATTTAGTCATAAATACTCAGGGAGCTAACTTACCTAAGACTACACTATGCTCTCTATCCATCTTGTCATCTTCTTGTAAATCTGGCATTTCCTTGACGCTTGTGCTCAGTTTTTGGCTTGCTGAAGCCGCCTGGGACGTGGCAGTGTGTCTCAAGGTGGACTCTCTTGGTGTCGGATCGACTTTTGTGTTGCCCATTTCGACATGTGAACTTGATTTAATATCAGCGGAAATTCTAGAATTTCATGTAGATTATATATATATATATATATATATATATATATATATATATATATATATATATATATATACATAAAGCTCAATGCTGTATGTAAAACGTTTGTAAAATGTTTGTCGTGGATGCTTTGATGGATTTAAGTGTTAGATTATTATAGTACTCATGGTCTAAATTTATGAGTTAAAAAATTACTATTGAAAGTCTTTAAAAACAATTTTATATACTTAGAATAATAATTTTCAATTATGAACATTACATAAAATTAAAATAAAGTGAATCGACGTTCATAAAATTTCTAAAATTATGTCTGAATTGTATTTGCATTTTGTCCTTTAGTTCTCATAACATCCCTTGATTTGGAAAACACAGTTACTTCCCTTTAAAGAACCATTAAATCGGGGGAAGAAAAAATTTACTTTTTATTACTTTGTTTTGGTGTTAAAAAAATAACATAATTATCGGGGATTGATTAAGTGCAATGTCGTTGGTATTTATAATACTGATTTTTATTTATTCTATGCACTGAACATACTGTTTACTAATTTTTTTTTAAATCAATAACATTTAATAATCCAGGTCCTACACATCCTATATGTTTTTTTCTTTCCATTTACGGATAAGCTTGGAGTATTATTATTTTGTTTACTAAATTGAAACAGGCGCGTCCGCCGGCGCCCCTGCACGGTTCGGTTCTGCGCCCTGGGCTATCATGTGAGCGCTATGCTGCAAAATTTCGTTTTAAACAGTGCGATAGACTATGGATAAGAAAGGTTACTATAGTCTTTAAGTGAATCAAATCCGGGCGTCCTCCAGCACAGGGTGCTATTTGGCGCCCCGGGCCTTCCCGTGTACGCTATGGTACCTACGTTCGCGTAAGTAAGTTCAAAAGACTATGAATAAGTTAGGTACTACAGTCGTTTACTAAGTTGAATCGGGTGGTTATGCCGCACTTTGTCATGGTGTGATTTGGCGCCCCGGGCTAGACTGTGGACACTTTGAGTTTATATTTGCGTTTATGTTTTCTTTGTGTTTGAGTTTGGGTTTGCGTTTGTGGTTGTGTTTGCGTTTGGATTTGGGTTTGGGTTTGTTTTCGTTTGCTTTTTTTTCTATGCGTTTGTGTTTTCGTTTGCTTTTTGTGTTTTCGTTTGTGTTTGTATTTGTGTTTGTGTAATGTTTCCTTTGTTTTTTTGGGTGTGTTTTGGTTTTGTTTGGTTGTGGTTGGGTTTGTGTTTGCGTTTGGATTTGTTTTCGTTTGCTTTTTTGTTTGCGTTAGTGTTTGTGTTTTCTTTGTGTTTGTGGTTGGGTTTGTCTTTGCGTTTGTTTTTGTGTTTTCGTTTGTGTTTGTTTTGTGTTAGTGTTATGTTTGCGTTTTTTGTGTTTTGGTTGGTTGTGGTTAGGGTGGGCAAAGCCCGGTAAATGCTGATTACTTAAACACACACGTTATGGTCCTTTACAGATACGTTATTCAGAGATGCCAGTGCAGGGCCTGGCCTGGACGGCTAGTATATATATATATATATATATATTTTTTTTTTTTTTTTTTTTTTTTTTTTTCTTGGTCAATAATTATTCAACTACTATTCTCGTATAAATAAACATAAAACTATCCTTAATATCGACATTACATGAAGTATCTCTCACATTCTCCCTAGTCCGAACTACCTGGCTTGCATACCATAACAACCCGTTCCTATGGCAAAACTTCACTCTCTTTCATCAGCGTCATCAAACATGATTTCGTCATATTTCTTGCAACAACATTCATTCGCACCAAAATACCTGATAAAACACACATCATAACAATGATGTATTTACTATTATTTCATAATGACGAACCTACCTACCTACCAACCTACCTCACTCCCTCCCAACCTACCTAATATTTGCGTAATTACAATTTGTTGCGCTGGCTAAAGTAAATAACTCAGTATATTTAATATTTTCACATATTGGTATGTGCCCAGCAGGTCAATACTTTAAAGACAGTGTCAATGCTTTAAAGACAGTGCCAATACTTTAAAGACAGTGCCAATACTTTATAGACAGTGTCAATACTATCGAACAGCCACAAGTGCTGATGGAGTCGCTGCTTGATATGACTGATTAGGACTATTTGATTTTAGAAGGTTATAGAAGAATGTCACATACAAAATGCAAACAAAATAAAACAATTTTGCAAGTTAACTTACGATTTCACAGCAGATGCTTTAGTAGATTCTTTTGTCGCTTGTTCTCTGGTATAAAAAATAACAGACACAGTAAATAAATTCGGAAACAAAAATGACATTAACAGTTAATAATTCTGATACTATTCTGAAACAGTAAATAATTAAAACAAAATATCAAATCGATTAAAGCACCGTTACAACAACAAATACATCATAATATATAAAGCCCATGTGCGCACTTCTCTCTCTCTCTCTCTCTCTCTCTCTCTCTCTTTCTCTATCCGCACAATACTTTCACAGACTATGATATCAGTATCTTCAGCGATATATGGAGAACTTATTACGGACTTTTGTTTAAAATAATATGTAGGATGTTTGGAATGTTTGAACTAAATGTTATTTAAAGAAGGAAAATAAAAATAAAGGCATATTTTAATGTAGAAATACAATTTTAATTATACAACGGAAAAGTGTTTATAGTTGTGACCAGAACGCAATAAATAATGACGTCACATGCCACATGTTTACACTATGGAAAGAACTCAACACTAATGGCGTCATCTTCCGATTTTAAAATATATAGAAAGGAACTATTTCATCCAACTTTGATTTAGATCTAGATCTATAGATCTACTTATCAAGACGTACGCTATGAAATATATACAATTTTCTCGGCCAAACTAATGCAAATTACTTTAAAAAACAACATAATGACCATTGAATAGCCGGGTTTTTAATGGAATCATTTAAATCTCTTAATCAGTGTTTGTATTTAATACGGTGTCCTGTTGACTAATAATTTATATAATTTGGTTTTAATTTTTCTAATAGGTATTGGTAGCCTGTTATTATAAATGTGCCGAATTTTTAGCTATTTAGTTATTTTTTTGCATGGTCTCTAATATTGTTAAACGTGTAGTAAAGCACATTGCGTTTTGACCAATCACTATTTTATAAAAATATTTTTCTCAAACATGTATAACATTAAAATATATAGGCCTATAATTTACGTGTAACGGGTACCGACGGCTAGTAAGTCTGATAAAACTCTTAGCTACTTGAAATAAATAATTTTGATAAGACTGATCAACTATTGATCAAGGAAAATTGGCTTGAAAAGAGTTGTGGAACAATAAAATACTTGTATTAAAATCTTTATGGGACAGCTTGGTCTTGTGGTAGAGCCAGTGGCGGAACTAGAAAAAAGGGCCACCCCGCAAAAATTTTTTTTAGGCCCCCCTATACATATATATATATATATGCCTATATATATATATATATATATATATATATATATATATATATATATATATATATATATATATATATATATATGCCTATATATATATATATATATATATATATATATATATATATATATATAAATTAAATATAAAAATATATATATAAAAATATATATAGAAATAAATATAATAAATATATATAAATAAAAATATAAACACAAAAAAAAACGAACATAGGATACTCATTGCTGGCCTGTTAGGGTTTTGAAAAAAAGTTGTTTTTTTTTCAATTAAAACAAATGACAACATCATGTCATGTGTGTAAGTGCATAAGTCTGTTTTGTGAAAATCAGTTTACTTTATCAATGCTATTAATATGACCTCTTAAATGCTATTCGGTCAAAAGAATATAAAACATGAAAGTTTTGTATAAATAATGCTGTCTCGTGTTATGTTTATTTTCTCTGTTTTTTTTTTTTAAATTTATATTATTAATTTTAAATACATTTCCTTTTTATGCAATGTCATTCTATAGTAAGTACTTTTTAAAAAAGTAGTTAAGAGAAGTATTTGCTTTTCAATTTGTTAAGTACAAATCTATTAAAAGGAGCTTATATGAGCACTCCTATTAGACTATTTTTTAAAAAAGGGAAATAAGTCATGGAAGTGGTTTAAATGTTTGCTTATCTTTGACAAGTTTGATTATAGGAGAAAGAGGGCTCGGCTTTCACAGTGGTTTAAAACAAAGGGAAAAAGAACATAAAATAGCGTGTGTTGGTGTATATAGAATAAAAATAACCCAACCGCAGCTACGGTAATCTTTTTTTACAAAACAACAATCAAGTCAAAAAATGCAAGAAAATTATTTTTTTTACTATAAAAAAATTATTATGGTCGGCTGTGGGCCCCTAAATGGCGAGCCCCCCCCCCCCCCCCCCCCCCCCCGCATTGCGGGGTCTGGCGGCACTGTAGTTCCGCCCCTGGGTAGAGCGCTAGACTGCTAACTCGAAAGTCTCGAGTAGAATGTCCCTGAGTTTGGCCAGCTCTAATGGGCGCCTAACTCACATTAGGGAAAACTAAGGCGGCTCGGCTTAGTGCCGACCACACTTTCCCTTAATATGCCGAGGTCTTTGAAACAGATGAGCTCTACTTCATCTGCCCCATGTGTCTTGGACACGAACGGAAAAAGATTATTTGATTTAATTTTTACTCACTGTACAGCAGCATCTTCCATCCTTGCAATGTTTCTGGAAAAAAATTGAAACTAATGTTAGCAATTGAATAAAACATGACAAAATCGTTAGAGTTTAATAAATTTCAATAAAATATTCAATTTTTATTTTTTTAATCGAAAGGCGATATTTTAAGTTAATATATAAGCAGGTAACAATAACTATAACCATTAGTAAGTTAAGTGATATTCCTCTTTGTTTAATATAGATAGATTCCTAATTATAAAGCAATAGGAACGTTTTATTTTAATGTAGTAAATTTATATAGACAATATCGTCAACGTTAACGGTAGTTGTTATTTTATGCAAACAAAGCCTTCATATAAACCAAAACAATCTTACAAAGGGACAAGATCTTGTGGTTTCTGCTCGATCCGTTCGCTGAAGCTGTCGATCAAATATTTCAATAATAATTAGTTTAACACATAGAGGAGTAGCTCTTCACTTTCACTAATTAATTCTTTTTAAAATTTGAATCTCTTACACCACACTCTGGTACCAGGGGCGTATTGACTGTGTCCAAGCGACTGGGATATAAATAAAAGCGGCCCCTTCTCGACTTCTTTTTAAGTGCAATTTTCTTTAACCAAGGCTAATTACCGAGGCTTACGAAGTCAACGGGGACACTTTACAGATTGCAGTATACAATAATGACAAAACAATTAACTGGGAGGGTTAATAATATACAGAAATTAAAAAAAAAAAACAACCCAAAATGGTATACCATGCAAGGGGAGAGGATAACAGCAAAAAATACATTAGACTGGAGTTCTAGAGGAAGAGGAAAATTAGGTAATTAATTTTTTTTATTAAGAAGTATTTCTAAAGCCCGATTACACAGGTAGTGCCACCACACCCCTTAATTATAAGAACATAAGAGAAACTTTAGGGGAGATCACTCGTGCTCTATATTTTTTCACAAAATCGAGTCTAGAACTCAGCATTGTTCATAAATATGGATGTTAACTCTAAACTGTGAAATCCTGCTTTTATGTAGCTCACAAAATAGTTATTAGCGATAAAATAATAAGTTCTATACCTAATCATTAAAAAAAATGTAAAAAAAAAACCAAAAAAAAAAAACCCGAAAGCAACACAATCAGATAAATTATAGATCTACTTTGTTATTTTAAGCCAAAATTTTACTTACGTTTCAATTTGTGAATCTAGTTTTGCTTTGTTCATCTCTCCAACTCTATATTAAAACATATAAAGAAAAAATATAAAGAAAATCTTAGAGATTAAACTTCACTTCTTTTTACTTTCTCGTATATACGAAGTATAGAGAAAGTCTTGTAATCGTGCAAAAAGAAAAAATCGAGATTTTTACAAATCTCGACGTTTTACACCTCACTGATACGGAAAAACATAATTTTGCAATCTTGTCCGCATGTCTGTGTGTCTGTGTGTCTGTCTGTCTGTCCGTGTGTAAACACGATAACTTGAGTACCGTTACAGCTAGGTTGATGAAATTTCATATATAAGTATTTTATCAAAATCGTAGATCCGTTTCAACTTTTGAGCGAATTCCGATAACCGGAAGTGGTACTTTTCCTACTTTGAATTTTTCAAAAGCCTATAACTTGAGTACTATTTCAGATAGATAAATGAAATTTCACATGTAAGTAAAAGATCTAATTCTCTACCTTCTGTTAAATTTTGAGTAATTTCCGTTGACTGGAAGTAGTAATTTACGCTACTTCCGATTTCTCAAAAAACTAATGTAAATTTTTAAAGTACTAATAATATTGCGCACTATTATACACTTTTTTTATTGGGCGTTCACTTGGTGTGCAATTAATCTGTCTACGAGATTTTATTCTATGTTTAAAACTTTAAGCATTTAAAATGGATTAAAAATCATGTCTATAGCCCGAGTTCCCATCCCCTGTTATTTTATATAAGAATATTCCAGAAAGTTTAGGGGAGATCACTCCCGGTTTATTAAACCATGGTCAAGCAAATGTGGTTAGAATATAAAACAAGTAAAAATAAACCTTTACAAACAAAAACGTCGTAAAAAACTGTCAATATCAAGCTTTTATAAAAATTATTTACTTAAAAGGAGAAAATGATTCATTTTCTTTTTATATTCTAATGAACCACTATTTAATTAACTAGCAAAAAAAACGTTGGTCGCTCATTAAATTTTTAGTAAAGTTACTCCCTACGTTAAAATAAGAAAATGAGTTTTATACACTATTTTCTATTCTTTGGTGGTTCTGAGGACAAGATTCTCTTTCATGTGTTATAACAGCCCTACCACGTCACCTAAATTTATCATTTCCACTTTTTGTTACTGGAAAAAATAATCTTATATAATTTTTTTTTGCTTCATTTGATATTCGATTGTGTGAAAAATGTATTGTCCTTAAGTTGTCAACTGAAAGAATTTTACTTTGTGAACCTACAATACATCAACAAAATCCCATTCAACTGTGATAATAAAAAAAGTGAATTAGGCCAACTTTTTAGTGCACATTTTTACTGTACCAAAAGACAAGACCCTTAAAAGTTTCAATGACCTTGTGTAATCATAGGTACAACTTTACCTGAGAAAGACATCCTCCATTGTTGTTGCTGACAGTCCATACGATTGTAAATTCAACGAAGCCATTTTTTTGTCTAAACTTTGCAAAAGTTTTGGGAATTCACTGACGCAGTTATCAGGAAGTATAAACGTAATCTCTGATATGTTGGAAGACTTAGGATAAAAAGAAAGAAAAAATAACATAAACTATAAGTCAACAAATAAATACGCATGCAGACGTTTATGTGAATATTCAACAGACGTTGTATGAAGCGATACATAGATGGTATGGCACTTAATGGAGTGTAAAACACACGATTATATACGTCAGCATTAGTTAAGGTTGTTTCTGCATCCAACTCAGTGGCCTAGTCTGGATGTTTCTTTTCCAGCATATATATATATATATATATATATATATATATATATATATATATATATATATATATATATATATATATATAAACAAAAAATAAATAAATGAATGAATGAAAAAATGGATGAACGAATGAATAAGTATTTATGTATTTATGTATGTATGTATATATGCAGTAGCGTAGCGAGGGGGGGGGGGGGCGGGGGGGTACATATGTCCCCGGGCGCCGACCTTAGGGGGGCGCCAAATTGAAAGTTTGAGGGGGGGTGGGGGGTGGAAATGAAAAGTTCGAGGGGGGGGTGCAAATCGAAAGTTTGAGGGTGGGGGTGCAAATGAAAAGTTCGAGGGGGGGGGGGGTGCAAATCGAAAATTTGCTCCCAAGGGGGCGCCAAATTGAAAGTATGTCCCCGGGCGCCGGGAAGGGTCGCTACGCCTCTGTATATATGTATATATGTGTATATATATGTATATATATATATATATATATATATATATATATATATATATATATATATATATATATATATATATATTAAATAAATAAAAGTTTATAAAAATTGAACCACTATTTCAATAGATTCCTATCGTTTCATACCTCGTATCGTTGCCTACGGCCTGAGCCCAAGCCAAATGAACGGCTCTATCATTTCTTACCTTTACATTTCACTCACCTGATAAATAGCTGCCTGCACGGTTGACAAGACGTGTTGAATCACTTTGTGTTCAGCACAGGTACCACCCTTGACCAAAGTCAGTCTATAACCAATTCCTAATTTAAAAAAATAAAATACCTTTATAGAAACACGCTTTTAAATGCACTGAAAATAAGAAAAGAAAATTAATTTGCTTTCCTTAACAAAAGCTTGAGATCTTTTACATATTTTAGTTTTAGTGTATTTAAAAGCTTGTTACTATAAAGGTTTTTTTTTAATATTTGTTTTATTTTCCCTTTTTTAGTGATTCCCAATTTATGAAGTCGACTAAAATTATTTCCTTTAAAACACCACCAGTTGCTCGCGATATGTGAAAGACGATTATCTGCCCCGTGAAAGCAGCCATTCGTGACCATATTTTTAAAGACGACACCAAGTTCTTAATCTTCTTACCTCCCCTTAGTTTCAAATAGTTTATAAACTTTATTAACTGCCCCTAAGAACATTCACTAGTTCGACGGGCTATACGATCGTAAGCATTCTCGTGAACCACAGCTCACCAGACTGTTAGGGTGATCGTGCCTAGCTGGTTATCTCCCCTTCTGTTATTGAACATAGAAATTTATCGAGTGATTTAATTCATTATCTTATTTTTAATGACTAATTAAACATCTAATTAAATTAAAAGATACATAGACTTGAATTGTATCTGGAAAGTTTGAACAAAATCGCTGCATTAGAAGTGGGTCAAAATTGAGTTAGAACATTTGCCACAAAATCACACACAAATAAACCGGGACTGATCTCACCTAAACTTTCTCGAATATTCTTATATAACTCGGAATATAGACATGATTTTAAATTCGAAGTGACTACTGGAAGAGGATTTTTCTCCCCAACGTCTCCACTTAGTCGGCAAAAGATAGCTCTGCGCATGCGCAGTGACCTACGGTTAGGGCTAGAATTAGGGTTAGGGCTAGGATTAGGGCTAGGGTTAGGGTTAGGGTTAGGGATAGGATTAGGGTTAGGGATAGGATTAGGTCTAGGGCTAGGGCTAGGGTTAGGGTTAGGGTTAGGAATAGGATTAGGGTTAGGGATAGGGTTAGGGTTAGGGTTAGGGATATGGTTAGGGATAGGATTAGGGTTGGTGTTAGGGTTCTGCGGTTGTAAACACACGCATGCGCAGTACCATCGAAAACATCTCCGAAATGGCAAGTCGTAGTTTCTCTCAAATTGCGCATGCGTATCTTATTCCGGCTAGCATCGGCCTTTTAAATTACTTAAACTTTTAAAAATAGAATAGAATCTCGTAGAAAAAAGAATTGCGCACCAAGCGAACGCCAAAAGAAAATGTGCATAATAGTGGGCAATATTATTAGTACTTTTTAAATTTACATGCATTTTTTGAGAAATCGGAAATAGCGTAAATCACTACTTTCGGTCAACAGAAATTACTTAAAATTTGACAGAAGGTAGAGAATTAGATCTTTTACTTAATTGTGAAATTTCATTTATCTATCTGAAATAGTACTCAAGTTATAGTCTTTTGAAAAATTCAAAGTAGAAAAAGTACCACTTCCGGTTATCGGAAATCGCCCAAAAGTTGATACGGATCTACGATTTTGATAAAATACTTATATATGAAATTTCAGCAACCTAGCTGTAATGGTACTCAAGTAATCGTGTTTACACACGGACACACACAGACAGACAGACAGACAGACACACAGACATACGGACAAGATTGCAAAATTATGTTTTTCCGTATCAGTGAGGTGTAAAACGTCTAGATTTGTACAAATCTCGATTTTTTTTTGCACGATTACAATTCTTTCTCTATACTTCGTATATACGAGAAAGTAAAAAAAGAACTAAACAAACAGACGTTGTGAACTAAATAAAAGCTTGGAATAAAAGATATACAAAAATATTTGTTCATAATTCTAGTGTTGGAAAACATTCCCTCCAACACAATTAAATATACGTGTCAACTGGTTATGCGCCATTTAGGCCGTTGACTCCGATTTCAGCGTGCTTTTTGTTTTTGAACAAACTACAAGGCAGCAGTTGTTAGAAGTGTTGCTGTCCCTATCTATCGAGCCTCATCTCCCCGAGGATTCGAACTCGCAACTTTTAGGTTTAGCAACCATGAGCTTTACCGACTCGACCACGCCGACTTGTTCTCAATAGCTAGCTATTAAATGCATTGAAAATGAGAAAATAGAACGAATTAGCTTCCTGTCGTAAAAGTTTTGGTTGCTAAAATATGTAAAAGATCTCACGAGCAACCTCAATTTAATTAAGCTGTACCATAAATTTTCTTTAAGAACATGGGCGTCCCGCAGCACTTGACGACGCCGCTGGCCATGATGGCTATCCGGTCACTCAGGTAGTCGGCCTCGTCCATAAAATGTGTCGTCATCAAGAGTGTACGTCCTTGGCGCAGGTTGGTCAGACAACGCCACAAGTCCCTGCGAGAACTGGGATCGAGTCCCGTCGAGGGCTCGTCCAGGAATACGGTCTGTGGATAGTATCACTTTAGAATCATCAGTTGGACATACATATTGGAGTCAACATGGAATATGGTCTGTGGAAAGTGTCACATTAGAATCAGGAGTTGGACATAAATATTGGAGTCATTTGTTGATCTTGAAAACTTTTAGATCACTATCATGAAGTCACTAGCTTGATGTCAGTACTTGTTGTCACCACCTGGGTCTCACTAACTTGCTGTCACTACCTTTATGTCACTATCTTGATGTCACTACCTGAGTCTCACTACCTTGATGTCACTACCTTGATGTCACTACCTGAGTCTCACTACCTTGATGTCACTACCCTAGCGTCAGTACCTTGGTATTCCCAACAAAAGCACAAGCCACGGAAATCTTTCTCTTCTGCCCTCCAGATAACTTTTTAGGATAGTCGTCGATTTTATTTTCTATTCCGAACTGCGATAATGTCCTAAACGCTTCGTCTCTGTTTATCGAATCTTGTCGCATCTGTCATGAAAAAAAAAATATTAAAAGATTATGTTTGATTTGAGAGTAAAAAGTACAGAAATATAGTATGAAAAACACATCGAGTCTTTAGCATTTCATAAAATAATAACATAGACGGAGAAAGAGCAATTTCTATGACCTCTCCACTGATTTAAGGAAATCATTTAGATTTTAAACTGCTTAATAACCGAAACTTCAATAAAAAAAAGGCTTAAGGTACCAATCCTCTAGTCACAAAGAGGGTAGAAGAACTCCAACAAAGATATCCCGTTCTAAGCTTTAGTCAGTTTTTTACTTTCTCGTATATACGAAGTATAGAGAAAGTATTGTAATCGTGCAAAAAAATCTCTTGAAATTTTAACAATTTTCACCGTATTACACCTCAGTCCTTCATCCCATCCGAAGTATAGAGGACTTATTTTAATCGGGCAAAAATTATCAATCCAGATTTATCAAAATTAAGAGGTTTTATGCGTAATCCATTCTGAAAACCTGGGCTTTGCAATCCTGCCCGTATGTCTGTGTGTCTGTCTGTCTCTGTGTCTGCGTGTGTGTAAACACGATTACTTGAGTACCGTTACAGCTAGGTTGATGAAATTTTATATATAAGTATTTTATCAAAATCGTAGATCCATATCAACTTTTGAGCGATTTCCGATAACCGGAAGTGGTACTTTTTCTACTTTGAATTTTTCAAAAGCCTATAACTTGAGTATTATTTCAGATATATAAATGAAATTTCACATGTGAGTAAAAGATCTAATTTTCTACCTTCTGTTAAATTTTGAGTAGTTTCCGTTGACTGGAAGTAGTAATTTACGATACTTCCGATTTCTCAAAAAACTAATGTAAATTTTTAAAGTACTAATAATATTGCGCACTATTATGCACTTTTTTTATTTGGCGTTCACTTGGTGTGCAATTCTTTTGTCTACGATATTTTATTCTATTTTTAAAACTTTAAGTATTTAAAATGGATTAAAAATCATGTCTATAGCCCGAGTTCCCCTCCCCTGTTGTTTTATATAAGAATATTGGAGAACTTTCAGGGGAGATAACTCCCGGTTTATTTTTAAAAGTTCTTTTGTATTATTAGCTATGTCTTATCCGAGTTTGATGTTGCGACAATGACATGTGTATCTTCCAATCTGACTAACTTTCACTGTAATATGAATGCTCCCTTATGACTAACTCGCACTGTTTGTGAGGGTTCCCTTATGACTAACTCGCACTGTTTGTGAAGGTTGCCTTATGACTAACTCGCACTGTTTGTGAAGGTCCCCTTATGACTAACTCGCACTGTTTGTGAAGGTTGCCTTATGACTAACTCGCACTGTTTGTGAAGGTCCCCTTATGACTAACTCACACTGTTTGTGAGGTTCCCTTATGACTAACTCGCACTGTTTGTGAAGGTTCCCTTATGACTAACTCACACTGTTTGTGTTGTGTTGCCTTATGACTAACTCGCACTGTTTGTGTTGTGTTGCCTTATGACTAACTCGCACTGTTTGTGAAGGTTCCCTTATGACTAACTCGCACTGTTTGTAAAGCTAACACACATTAATTGTGATGCTTCCACTATGGCTAACTCACATTAAGTTTCAAGCTTCCCTTAAGACTCGCAACCACTAAATGTGAAGCTTTCATTAAGACTAACACACATTAAGTGTGAAACGTAGCCCTTGAAAAGTATGCAGTAAAATCTCAATGAAAAACTAACTGTACTTGTATAGAAAACCATATGCTTTAAGGAGTTAGAAAAATCCAAAATAAAATTAAATCATTTTTTATTGACATACACTGTTAGTAACTATTGATAATTACGTACAACGATAGAAAGCATTTCTACGTATTGATATATATATATATATATATATATATATATATATATATATATATATATATATATATATATATATATATATATATATATATATATATACATATATTGTAAGACACACACAAATATAGACAAAGATTACATGAAACAGAGACGAAACGATATTATTCAATGCAAAGAGAACCATAACATAGGTTTAATTTTCCACCTTGAAGGACTGAACCTTTCGTTTCGTGTTGTAGCAATTCTGCTACAAAGTGTAATAATCTGAAATGAATCTACGCTAAGTTAAGAACCCGAGTTTACTATTCTGAATTCCTGCTCTACCCCTTTTGACATAGATTAATACCTATAACCTAATATATGTTACAAATCAGAGAAAAGATACTTTCCTTATTGTACAAGACCATGTGCTCGTAGATTTTACTGCCTCAGCAAAAAGCTCATAGACTAAGACAAAACAAAGCAGGTAAAAGACACTACCTTAGTGTAGAAGACCATATGCTCGTAGATTGCGAACGTTAGTAAAAAGTACATTGACTAAAACTTTAAGGACTTTAAAGAAAGCAGAGAAAAGATTGCTACCTTAGTATAGAAGACCATATGCTCGTAGACTGTGAGTCTGGGAAAAAACAAATCGTACTGAGGACAGAAGCCCAGAGTTTTTCTAATGGCTGTCAGGTTTCTGACAACATCCATGCCGTCTATCATCACTTGACCGCGAGTTATGGGGGTTAGACCTGATAAGGTTAATAAAATAAATTGCTGTCAGATCTACCAGTGTACAGTATGTCGTGTGAAAATAAAAGTTTAAGTAATCTATATTCTACTAATAATCAGCTATTTTAACACGTTTTTTTTTGGGGGGGGGTGTCTCTCGGTTCCGTTTGATCAGTGCACCTGCAATATATGTAGAACTTTAAAATACGTAGGCCTATTTATGTATAAAAACATATTTTTTTCAAAAATATGTTATACACAAACTTATTTAAAGATTTAAATTAAATTAAAGATTCATAAGTATAAACACACGTTTAACTATACGATTTGAGCACAATTATTTTTTTTTTACAAAATAGCCTTCTAGGAAAATTAAGAAATTTTGAAATATAAAGCTAAACTATATGTCACTTTGCTAGTTTTATTATGTTCCAACACTATTATCGATTTTTAATTGAATACGATTGAGAGTTCTTGTAATTCGAAAATACAATAAATGCATCTAGATCTACGTATAAACTAGAGTTAAGCTGTCGGAGAAAAGTAGGCCCAAACAAAATTAATTACTTTAAAACAAAAACAAGTATAAAAACAAAATAAATTATATAATTATTTACTAAACTATTTCAAAATGCTCTTTGTTTCATAGCAATGGTGTGATTTCTTTTTAAATGTGTATGGTAAAGTTGCCTATCTCAAATGGCGGGACATGGGGCAGGTGAAGTAGATTTCACCAGTTTCTGTGGTCAACACCAAGCTCAGAAGAAATCGGTGTTTTTAAAAGACAAAAACATGTCTGAGGTGTGATGAGTCTGGCTTTTTATGACATATGTTTGACAGTTGGAAGAGGAAGATCAAACAAACAAGCGTGACGCCATTTATGAAACGCCCCCTAAACCCACATTTATCTGAAGGATAATGGGTGCTCTAGTATCTTTTAAAATATTGGGGTTTAATTTGGTGTGTTTAAAAAAAAGTGCAAATCGGTAAAAACAGTTACTTTTGAAAAATACTCGAGTGTTATATTATTTTTTAATAAATTATATAACTTTCGACTATAACTGCTAATCATTTGTATTTAATTGTGCTAGTCAACATGAAAGCTCCTGACATATTACCAATAGTCATAAATACAATGTTTATTAACACTATACTAAAACTTCTATCACCTAATGTATTTTGATATATCAATATTACCTGCACAACTATAAAATTATATTTGTATCGTTGATCATTAATAACTCTTTATTACAAAAAAGCTAGGAATTAACCCCTAATTAAGATCTTTAAAACATCAATTAAGCAAGAAAATACTTTTCGAAAAAATAAATCCCAACCTAATATCTTCAACAAAATCGTTTCACCAAAAACATGTGCATCACTCACTGCCTAAGATCATGGAAATAATTTCACCAAATCAAACAGTCTATCACTGCCTACCTAAGATCATTGAAATAATTTCACCAAATCAATTAGTCCATCACTCCCTACCTAAGATCATTGAAATAATTTCACCAAATCAAACAGTCTATCACTCCCTACCTAAGATCATTGAAATAATTTCACCAAATCAAACAGTCTATCACCTACCTAAGATCATGGAAATAATTTAACCACATCAAACAGTCTATCACTCCCTACCTAAGATCATTGAAATAATTTCACCAAAATCAAACGGTCTATCACCTACCTAAGATCATTGAAATAATTTCACCAAATCAAACAGTCTATCACTCCCTACCTAAGATCATTGAAATAATTTCACCAAATCAAACAGTCTATCACCTACCTAAGATCATGGAAATAATTTAACCACATCAAACAGTCTATCACTCCCTACCTAAGATCATTGAAATAATTTCACCAAAATCAAACGGTCTATCACCTACCTAAGATCATTGAAATAATTTCACCAAATCAAACAGTCTATCACTCCCTACCTAAAATCATTGAAATAATTTCACCAAATCAAACAGTCTATCACCTACCTAAGATCATTGAAATAATTTCACCAAATCAAACAGTCTATAATTCCCTACCTAAGATCATTGAAATAGTTTCACCAAATCAAACAGTCTATCACCTACCTAAGATCATTGAAATAATTTCACCAAATCAAACAGTCTATCACTCCCTACCTAAGATCATTGAAATAATTTCACCAAATCAAACAGTCTATCACCTACCTAAGATTATTGAAATAATTTCACCAAATCAAACAGTCTATCACTCCCTACCTAAGATCATTGAAATAATTTCACCAAATCAAACAGTCTATCACTCCCTACCTAAGATCATTGAAATAATTTCATCAAATCAAACAGTCTATTACTCCCTACCTAAGATGATTGAAATAATTTCACCAAATCAAACGGTCTATCACCTACCTAAGATCATTGAAATAATTTCACCAAATCAAACAGTCTATCACTCCCTACCTAAGATCATTGAAATAATTTCACCAAAATCAAACGGTCTATCACCTACCTAAGATCATTGAAATAATTTCACCAAGTCAAACAGTCTATCACTCCCTACCTAAGATCATTGAAATAATTTCACCAAATCAAACAGTCTATCACCTACCTAAGATCATTGAAATAATTTCACCAAATCAAACAGTCTATCACTCCCTACCTAAGGTCATTGAAATAATTTCACCAAATCAAACAGTCTATCACCTACCTAAGATTATTGAAATAATTTCACCAAATCAAACAGTCTATCACTCCCTACCTAAGATCATTGAAATAATTTCACCAAATCAAACAGTCTATCACTCCCTACATAAGATCATTGAAATAATTTCACCAAATCAAACAGTCTATCACTCCCTACCTAAGATCATTGAAATAATTTCACCAAAATCAAACGGTCTATCACCTACCTAAGATCATTGAAATAATTTCACCAAGTCAAACAGTCTATCACTCCCTACCTAAGATCATTGAAATAATTTCACCAAATCAAACAGTCTATCACCTACCTAAGATCATTGAAATAATTTCACCAAATCAAACAGTCTATCAATCCCTACCTAAGATCATTGAAATAATATCACCAAATTAAACAGTCTATCACTCCCTACCTAAGATCATTTAAATAATTTCACCAAATCAAACAGTCTATCACTCCCTACCTAAGATCATTGAAATAATTTCACCAAATCAAACAGTCTATCACTCCCTACCTAAGATCATTGAAATAATTTCACCAAATCAAACAGTCTATCACTCCCTACCTAAGATCATTGAAAAATTTCACCAAAATCAAACGGTCTATTACCTACCTAAGATCATTGAAATAATTTCACCAAATCAAACAGTCTATCAATCCCTACCTAAGATCATTGAAATAATATCACCAAATTAAACAGTCTATTACTCCTTACCTAAGATCATTGAAAAAATTTCACCAAATCAAACAGTCTATCACTCCCTACCTATGATCATTAAAATAATTTCACCAAATCAAACAGTCTATCACTCCCTACCTAAGATCATTGAAATAATTTCACCAAATCAAGCAGTCTATCACTACCTACCTAAGATCATAGAAATAATTTAACCAAATCAAAGAGTCTATCACTACCTACCTAAGATCATTGAAATCATCGTCGTTTTGCCAGCACCATTGTGTCCGAGTAACATGGTAATCTGGTTGGTGTAGATGTCCAGACTGACGCCAGAAACTACCATGGCGTTACCGTACGTCTGGAAAAAATAAATGTTTGTTGACAAGCTACAATTAATTCAATATAATCAATCTCATATGTTGAGTTTTTATCGTTTATCATATTAAGATAAAAATACTACTAGCACAAAAAAAAACGAATTTCTAGTTTGCATAAGCTATAAAAAGCATGTACTATTCCGGTTAACACAACTATTACAAAACATTTTGATATGTGCTCTGCAAAATAAATTAAAATGTTTTTTTTTTACAATAATTAAACTGTTGTTATATAAGGTATTAAAGCAATGAACACACACTACCCACCTTTACAAAGTTTCATTTAGATTAAGTACATTGCAAAACCTTAAAGATAGTTCTTTTCTACTATCTATATATATAATTCTCTTCTTTGAGACGTTAGAAAACAAGCTCTCTAGGAAATCTGGTGAGCTGTGGTTCACGCTTAATGTTAACAATCGTAGAGCCGGGTTTAGTGACGGCTATTAGGGGCAGATAATTTAGTTTGAAACTATTTTAAACTTAGGGGAGGTAGCTAAGAGGAGGCTGCTTTCACGAGGGGGTGGGGGTTAGGGGTTGGGGGAAAGGAGGGGGGGGGTTATCGTCCTAAACTACTTACTGATAGTGTTTTAAAGCAAATATTTTCAGAGACAGCAGTGTTGATACGCCGCGGGTCGGCTCGTATTAATAATTAGACGAAATGATATTCATAAATAAAATAATTTCAATTTCAGCAGTACCTCGACTTAATCGTTTTCAAATACGAAATAATTGTCCACAAAAGAATTACCTTGACCAAGTCACGAACGACAATTCCTATTGTCTCATTCCCTGAAGGCTTTTCAAAGAACTTTTCATTTTGTTGAGGTACGGGAGGGATTACTGTTTTCTTTATTTCAAAGCTGCTGTGCTGTTGATCAATGATATTTTATTTTCGATTAAACAATTGTGGTGGTGAATGTCTTTTTTGTTGTTGGTTTTAATGTTATTCAGTGATTATTTGTTATTGTTTTTTTGTTATTATCTGTCGCCCACTGGTATAGTCCTAGACACTGTTCTGTTTGTATTATAGGTTGTCGTTTATAGGGACTATTTGTTTCAGTGTAGTAGGACTAGGAAAGTTGGGTGTACTTGGGTTGAAAGCGTGCAAGTACCCGTCTATCTCACCGGTTACCACTGGGTGTGAGAGATTGGGGCCAGTGGCGTAGGCAGGGGGGGGGTCAGAACCCACCTCCCCCATAGACCCCTCGGTAAATACACAAAGGTTGACGGGGGGGGTGCAAAATCGAAAGTTTGAGGGGGGTGCAAATCAAAACTTTGAGGGGGTGGTGGTGCAAATCAAAAGTTTGTCCTCGGGGCCGGGGAGGGACGCTACGCCTCTGATATATACATTTGTAATGCGGGAAAAAATTTGAACCCCCCCCCTTCCCATGAGACGATCCTGGCTACGACACTGTTGGGGGCGGACGCCAGGCGGGAAGATATTTGTCTATTTTTTTTCTAAGCTTTTATCTAGATTACACTGTTTGTGGGCTGTGACAAATCTGGCAACTCAGTTTTGAAAAAAAAAGTCTAATGCGATTTCGTTCAAACTTCAATGGGTCGGGGTGGTTGAGTTGGTAAACCGAAGTCTCTTCTAGGAGAGACAGCTCCAAAATCAAGCAACTCCCGCCTAGTAGTTTTTTCTTGGCTGGACAAAGACCGTGGAAGTAATGGAAAAAGAAAAGCAGGCTAAAATCGGAGTCAATGGCCTCAATGGCGCATAACCAGTTGACACGTATAGTAAACTGTGTTCGAGGGAATCCCTTTCAACACTAAAATTTAGAACGAAGAAGATGATGTCACATGTATGGCAATGTGCTGTCCGGATGGTTACTTATATACCTGTATCCAGGGGCGTAGCGAGGGGGGGGGGGGCGGGGGGGGGGGTGCGGACCGCACCGGGTGACACCATTTAGGGGGTGACACCAAGGCAAAAAATAGCAAAATATATAGAGAAAAACTTGAGGGGGGGGGTGCAAATCGAAAGTATGAGGGGGGGAGGGTGCATATCGAAAACTTGAGGGGAGGGGTGCAAATCGAAAGTTTGAGTGGGGGGGGGGGGGTGCAAATCGAAAATTTGAAAGTTTGTCCCCGGGAAGGGTCGCTACGCCTCTGGCTGGGTGACACCATTAAGTGCCGCACCGGGTGACACCCGACCTCGCTACGCCACTGCCTGTATCTTGTATCGTGACCTACCTTTAAAAGGGAGCTCATATGTACCTACATTTTTACCTACGCTAACCTTACCTCGCTAAACCATGAACGCTCCTTTGCCCACACAATAACACAGTTGACAACACTGTTGAGTACCAGATACATTATTCCCTCAAGAAACGGCAAACCACTCGTTTCTGATGTTTGGCGTTTGAGGCCTATATGAAACAATAACAACGATGGTAAAATCTTTACAATAACAATCTTTTAAATACACCAATATCCGAAAGTTTACAAAAATGTACTTTAACTCCTATAGTGAAGGTGTTAGATGATAATTGATCGTAAAATTATTGATTACTTAAAAAAACAACCGTTTTGACTGTTGCGTATTCAGAACACACACCTCTCCGTCCCAACTCCTCTCCTCTCCAATAGAAATTTGAACTACAAAAATTAGCTAACCAAAATACGCCATCATGGCTAATTTTAAATTGACACGTTTTAAAAAAAAGACTGTCGCTTTACTACTGTAGCTACAAATGTACTTTTAAAACATATTTAGTGCATTTTTTAATTAATTTATTTTATTTCTTTTTGCTATTTAGTATTTTATAATTATAGAAACATATTAGTAGACATTTAATTGTTTAAAATACCATATTAATTCTTCTAAATTAATTGGACAGCCTCTCGCAAGTAATAATATCTGCTGTGAACCCTAGCAGTACTTGAATACCAGGGACATCGTATTGCAGATAAAGAATGACGACGCAAAACTGGTAATTGTTATTTTTCCCTTCAACAGTTAGCAAATGTATTTATTATTTTTGTGTGCTTTAGTTTCCAACTTGGTTCTACGATTAGTCATAACATTTGTAAAAAAAAACAGTTCACTAGATCAATAGCTTTTAACTATTTATTTCCGTTTGTGATCTATAATCAAACAATGAATTTTTTTGTTTACTATTTTAGTTACATTTTAATTACATATTCTAGTATTGTTGCGGAGATAACTTAAATGCAAAATTTTAATGTAATCTTCTAATTAAAAATAGTTTAAAACTGATATACATCATTTGACAACAATGGGTCTGGTCGGTAAAGCTTATGTTTCCTAAATAGTCCCGAGTTCGACACTTCGGGAAGATGAGGCTCGATAGCTGTGTTAAGGAACCCATCTAAGAGAGAAACCACCAAAATAAAAATAAAAACTGCTGCCTCACTTATTGTTCTTGGTTGGACAAAGGCTATGGAAGCAAATCTAAAAAGGAAAGCAGGCTGAAATCAAACCAACAGCCTTTATTGAGCACAAGTTGTTGACACTCAGTGCTTAAATGTGTTGGGGGAACTACCGTCCAAATATTATAATTAAGAACAAAAAGGAAACTTGATAACAAACTTAAAAAAACTCAGTTTTAAATTTGTAATCTATTTTAGCTTACTGATGAAATAAATGTTATGAATGCACCATTATCGCTTTATCCCATTTTACCCATACCCGAATAGATCTATCAGCTCACTCTTAGTTCTGTTCTATCGTCTTAAATCTGTTTTTTACTCATGCACTTTGTCACAAAGTACGGTAAAACTCTCTCCGACATACACCATCCTCATATTGCACATAGAAATAAGGGTACTTGATCAAACTAACCACACTTATAAGGCGACATGCATGAAATATCTCATTACACATATCCAACGACTTACGATATTCTTCCAGAACCATCCAATAGAAGCACATGTTTATACCGTGAGAGTAGAGGAATGGGCCAGCGAATAAATTTAACGTTTTACCGGGACTGTGGCCTATCTTTATTGAAATCCAATTCGATATTACGAAAGCAAAGAATGCGTATAAACCGCTGATCCTGGCTGAAAAATAAAACACTTTCAATTATTCTACAGGTTTTTTAAAAAATCTGTCTAACAAAAATTAAAATCAACACTCCCAGCATCTCCTAATAATCGAATCCCCACTCGTTTTACGCTGGTGTGGTTGAGTGAAAGAGCGCATGACACCAATACATGTCACTAACCCAAATTTTAAAAAAGCCCTGTTTGTGACAGCCCATTTTGTATCCACCAACTTTATAATATGTAATTGTTTGCATTACCTATTACACAACGTCCATTATGCCACTAAATAACTTAATAGCGCACTATTGAACCCCTCTAAAAATCCAATATGTAAGATCGATACATTTAAAAATATACATAACCTGCTGTCTTTAGGCAACTTAATCCACTAATTTCATCCAATTCCACCCACTAGGCTAAGATTTGTCTATCCGCTAACAATCGTTAGTCCTTTGTTTTCTAAAAAACTTATTCACTATACCCAAATTCCTAATAATTTTCGTTGGAATGGGTATGCGGTTTTTTTAAATTATTATTATAGGAGGCTATAAAAAAAAAATTTTGGCGAAACAATTGCGGAAATCCCATAAATCAATGTATTACTTACCATCACTTAAAAAACAAGACAAAAACAGAGAAAACGTCAGACTGTTTATAGCCATGAGAGAATACAACACGTATTGAGACAAGAATGAGAATGGGAAAAACGGTCCTGCAGCAGTCTCATAGCTCATCGCTATAGAGAATATCAGAGCGATCACAAGACCAAGGCACAGTCTGGCCACAAACCAGGAGCACCAGTAGACCAGTTTGGAAACTCCCAGCACCTGCAGCGTTTCCTGCAACCACAAAGTATTCAGATATTAAACTTTTATTCCAATTCCATTATTATTATCTTGAAAGAACATTGCCATTTAAATGGACTGTAAACCTTGCTGTTTTACGTTTATAAATGTATGTGTTTATTCTGAATTTTTGTTGTAGTTTTATAAGAGCGGAAACGCCAATATAACTAGGCGACTAGTCCGCACAGAAAGATACTGTTACGGGTCAGTTGTAGGTTAGAATAGAATAGGCTAGAATAGTCCAGAACGTACGAAAGAGGCGTGTGTGCGTTGAGTTTACCCCGGTGTGTTTATGTATTATTATCCCAGGGTCGAGTTCGGGTATAAAAGATGGTGTGAACGATTGTACGGGGCCTTTAGTTAGTAGCAGCTAGGGACGAGGGCTGCTGTGTGATGTGTAAAGATAAGAACAAAAAAAGTAATGAACATCTTCTCGGGTTGTTTTTACAAGCTTTTATTTAACTCACTTTCTCGTCAGTCTGTCGTCAGTCTAGATCAAAACATCCGAGCGAAATTACTGGCACTTCTAACTGACAGATACGGTTCGTAATTGGCACGTGGGTCAAGACATGAAGACAATGCAACAAGACATTAAATTTGACTAAATTGAATGCCTAATTAATTTTTTTATGAATTAATTAAAATGTTTACCGAATTAGTAGGCAGTCTTATCCAACATGTTTTTATTTACAATAGAGTTTCATGACTAAAAACCATTGCGCGCCTATTGAACGTGATGACGCGCTATTGAACGTGATGACGCGTGTGGAGTAGTTGAATAGAAATGCCTACTAATTTGGTCAAAATTTTAATTAATTCATAAAAAACTAATTAGACATCCAATTAAGTCAAATTTAATGTCACGATGCATTGACTTCATGTCTTGACCCACGTTCCAACTACGAACCGTATCTGTCAAGTAGAAGTGCCTGCAATTTTGCTAGGCCGTTTTGATCTAGACAGACTGACGACTGACGAGGTAGTGAGTTAAATAAAAGCTTGTAAAAACAGCGTTGCATTTACAGACAACAATATTTTATCCAATATAATAAATAAATGGGTTTTTTGTAGGGGTTAAAGTTCAAGCGAAAATACAAAATTAATCGGGGTAGGACGATGGCGTTCCTCGTTCTCGTTTACAACAGAGGAGTCACGCATAACTTAGTTATAAATATATCGCCTTGAGATGTTTCATTTTTGTTAGATATTTTGTCTCAGAAAATTTTGTCAATGATCGTTTGTCCTGAAATATGTTGTCTGAGATATTTGGTCTTTGATTATTAGTCCTGAGATCATTTAAGGGGAATGAGTAGTTGATGGGTCATGGTTGGTGCGTGTTGTGGAACCGGGATCTGTTATCAAATGGAAAAATCAAGTTTAACTATAAAATAGTTGGCGTATTTGATTTCTACATTTCGTACAGTTTTTTATTTGTTATATAAGAAGTACAGATAACAAGAGAGTGTTTGCCTAATTTCTTTCTCTTAGAGATCATAGTATATTTTTAGCTAACAGTTTTGTTACGAATTGCTGGTGTTGACATTAAATTGAAACAATACAAATGTTTAAACATGTTTTTTTTCCCCGGAAATCAAGTATATGTTTCACTATAACATGTAATCGTAATGAAAAATATTTTCAAGCTGCGTCATCTGTACGACTATTTGACACAAGTAAAGCATGCATCGTTTATTGACAAGGTTAGGGGCAACGCCTTGCCGGAACGGCTAAATTACCTTAATATTGGACGCTTTCTCCTCAACGATGAACACAGTCGAGCAAATCGTGAACGAGAAGACGATTATATTGAAGATTGGGTAAACGTTTGATAGCACTCCGACTTTGGCTTTCAACCGCGGCATCACCTGAGCTCTGACCAGCAGACGTGGGTCGTACGTCAGGTTGCCCAGCTCCCTCTTCCAGTAATTCAGGTACAGCTGTGCCACCACCAGCTGAGTAGAAGTTAAACCCTTCTCGTCGTAGTCTGGTGTGATGTATTAAAAAATAATACATGGTTATCTATCTATATATATAAAAAGCAACGTATATGTGTGTGCGTGTGTGTGTTTCTTTGTCTTTTATGCATTACTACACCTCTCATCACATCGCCGTGAAACTTCGGGAAGTTGTTGAGAAAATTTCTGGGGAGGTTTCAGCGAAAAAAAAATTCTTCAAATTCGTAAGGGTGGCGTCGAGACAGGGCGCAATTTCTTTTTTCTCTATATACGGTATATAAAAATAAAAGTCGATTTTGGTTGATAGCGTTCACCCGATCGCCATGAAACTTTGGGGTGTTGATTAGAACACTACCTGAAAAGGTTCAGCAAAAAAGTGGCTTTTTTTTAATTTCGCAAGGGCGGCGCCACGGGAGGGTGCGTTTTTTCTCTATATACGGTATATGAAAATAATAATAAAAGAATTGAAGTGACACCGTTCACACGATCACCATAAAACCTTGGGAAGATGTTGAAAAAACTCCTGGAGAGGTTTCTGCGCAAAAAACATTTTGAAATTCGCAGAAGTGTCGCCGCGGCAGGGCGCGATTTGTGTGTTACGGTATATAAAAATAAAAGTCGATTGTGGTTTCACACCGTTCATCCTATCGCATTGAGACTTTGGGGAGTTGATTAGAATACTCCAGAGAAGGGTTCTGTAAAAAATAAAAAAAATTGTGCAAGGGCGGCGCCACAGGAGGGTGCGATTTTTCTTTATATACAGTTTATAAAAATAAAAGACGATTGCGGTTCGACACAGTTTATCCGGGTGCCATAAAACGTTAAGGAGTTGATGAATACTCCAGAGAAGGTTTCTGGGGTGGGAGAGGGGATGGGGGTTGGTGGGTGGTGATGGGAGGGGGGATTTAATTTTGCTTGGGCGGCCCCCCGGCAGGATGTGATTTGGCGCCCTGGCCTTTCCCGTGAGCGTTATTGCAACTACGGTTGGTCTAAACAGTGTGATAGACAATGGATAGGATGGAGCGTTACAAACGCTCACTAAATTGAATCAAGCTTGTCCGCCGGCGCCCTGGTAGGGTGCGATTTGGCTGCAAACAAAAATTTCAGTTTTTGCCGCTGATAAGGATAACGTCGAAACAGGAAGTGAAGTGATTAATTAAAAAGACCTTTATAATAACAAACTTTTAAATGCACTGAAAGCTAGAAAATAAAACAACCTGTTTTTTTTTAAATATTCAACGCTTTATTCGCACACAAGACCCCTTACATATTTAGCGACCAATGCTTTTATCAAAGAAAGCAAGTTTGTTCGGTTTTCTTATTTTCTGTGATTAACATTATTTAAGTTTTATACATGTAATTTTTCCCGCTATTTTGGTGATTCCTTCTAAATGAAGTTGACACTAGATCTATATAGGCTACAACAACATATTTGCGTTATAGATATGTTATCTTCCCTTCCTCGCGTTCGATGCTCAGCAAGAAACCAACCACCCGTGACAAACAGTACACCGTCGTCGGTTAGTTGATCGCTAATATTTAATTATGTTATTATAGTAATTTTAAAATAAAATGTCTCTCTATTTAGATTAAAATTTTGATTTAGAATGCATCTGGGAAGTTTGAGCGAAAATTGCTGTATTAGAAGCGGGTCAAAATTAATTTATAAGATTTCCCACATAGAAATGGACGTTGTTAACTTTAAAATAAAAAAAAAGGTTGTAAAAAGATTATCATCATTATTTTCCGTTCGCGCCCTAGACACATGGGGTAGATGAAGTAGAGGTCATCTGCTTCGGAGACCTTGGCGTATGAAGGGATAGTGCGTCTGCATTAAGCCCAGTCGCCCTTGCTTCCCTAACGTAAATTATGTACCCGTCAGAGGTGTGTGGACTCAGGGACGTTTCACTGATTTGATACAAGATTCAAACTCGCCTTCCCATTTGTAAAAAGATGCCAAAGTAAATAGAATAAGAGATAACGCTTATCATTTATGTTTTTTTTTTTGTTAAAATCAGATGCAACTCAAGCCTGATTATAGAAGACGTGCGCTGATAATTGAAGGTTTAGCTCCTACCGTAACTTTGGCCAGTCATTACTCCAGTAGGAACATGGTCGTCTATTGGAATACGAAACTTCAAGTGCTGGGGTAGACGCGGGACGTTTTCAGTTCCCTCGAAAATTACCATGGGATGTTGGTGTATGCTTGACACTGGTCTGAGTATTCTTGGAACTTTTGGCGGAAATATTAGAGAAAATCGTCAATAAAAAACAACTTTCTAAAAATATAGCTAACGAAATATTAATGTAGACCATAAAAAATTAGACCATAAAAAATTAGACCATAAAAATTTCCTGTAATATAATCAAACAAAAGCAAGTTAGAAAATGCACTCTTTTTTTTTGTATTTTTTTTTTTGCTATGCCCATCTTCATTAGCTATCATAAAAAATAAGATGAAAACATTCCATTTTAGATAATAAATGTGTAATTTTTAAAGAAAGTTAAATGAATACCGTTTCAACCCGCCCCCACCAAAACCACCAACTTTTTAATTTAGGTCTTTTCTTAGGGTTAGTAAAGGTATAGGGCTGGTAAGTAGGTCAATAAACAGTTCTACGGCTCAATAAAACCTGCATAAGATATAGAACTGTTTATTGGCCTACTTACCAGCCCTATAGGAACCGCTTCAAGAAAGGGCAACTGTTTCTCGGCAAATGAAGTAAAGGTGTGGACAGCGCTATGCTAAGCCGTCTCATCTTGACTAGACAGAAGAATCAGGTACCCATAAGAGTTGATTATTTTGTTTTAAATACAAAAACAAAATTGTTTTCTTTAATACACGCATTGTTTGCTCATAAAACCTCCTACATATTTTTCCGGCTGTAACAGTGTTGAATAAACTTGAAAAGCTGGTTTCAAATGTTTGTAGCCAGAAAGCATATTTTTCAACCGAAATTGAATATTTTATAACATTTGTGTAGTTAATACAAAATTACTTCCGGTTTTATTAAGGCTAGAAATATTCAAAGCAATAATTACTAGTGGTATAATAGTAATTTAGGAAACCCTTTTATTTTCAATTCGGATTAGTAGAGTCAGGGTGATATTATTTAATATAAATACAATACTATGCTATACACTATACACCATACATCACTATTGTGTATTTTTATCATGGAAAACAATTGTTCTGATTTTTTGTTTTATTCACCCTGGCCATTCTGGTTGACTTCAATGAGAGATTGAGGGCAGTTTTTGAAAATATTTGAATTGATACAATTATACTCAATGCACTCACTACCACACACGCTTCACTCCAAACCCAATATACAAAAGTACAGTCTGTCAGAGTAATCGATACTTTATTAAAGAAAGTTTGTTGTATATATATATATATATATATATATATATATATATATATATATATATATATATAAGTAGTCCGCTATTCTGGCGCTGATATGATTAGGATTTTAAAAAGGTTTATAATTGCTTTGTCTTGTTTATATTTTGATGTTATTTATGCAAACATTGTTTAAGGAGTGTGGCTCCACTTTGCTTTAAGTCCTGAATGTTACTTATTATTGTATTAGGGACTATTTTCTTGTGCGTAGTATTGTTTTTTTTTGTTCGTGAATGTGGTGTGTGGACAGGGAGGGACGTTCTGCTGGAATGTCGAGGCCTTGTGTGTTGAAGAGTTTCTGTGTCACATTAATGTGGTGACGGTGGTCCGAAATTGGGTGTTTTGTTCCGTTGAGTTCTGTTTCTGTTTTGTAGGTCTCGAGTGTTTTGTCCCGTTGAGTTTTGTTTAGTCGTGTTTTGTGTATTCTGTAGTTTATCATCTTTCTTATTTTGATTGGTTCCATGTAGGCCAGATAAATTTAATTAATTGTTAAAAGCTTTATGTTTTTATTATTTAGACTAAGGTTAGGTTATTAACCAGTCTGGGTTTATCCGGGCTTGCACTGACCGGATAGTAGTAGAGTAGTAGTAGATAAGCCTAGGGAAGGGTAGAATAGATTTTAAGGTATCCCCCCCCTAGCAGGGCTTATATATATATATATATATATATATATATATATATATTCACTTCAGTGCATTTATAAGCTAATTATTAGAAATATTTTTATGTTTCTTTTATCTTTTCTACTTTTTAATATTTTAGTTGTTGCAAAGAATCATTTGATTCTTCAGTTTAAAAAAAAAAAACTTTAGCCTCTATATTTATTCATTTAATTTTCATCCGTGTAAAGTCGACACAAATTTTGCCTTATCCCAGACTGTTCGATTATTCTTATAGAAAGCACTCTACATAGTTATTATCTACCTTTAAAGTCCGTTTCGGCTCTAGGATTTGTAAATTAGACGGAGTGATCTTTTTTCTACATAGTCATTTCTCCTATTTAATGTTTTACGTAAACTTTAAATTTATTTTAATGGCGAATTTGAGATCAAATAAGATTGAAAATAATACATTCATGCTTTATAATCTGTAGTCTGATTGTAATTTATCTGGAGTCGATGGGGGGGGGGGGGGGGGGGGGTTGGTATTTCGATAAGATCGAAAATGAGTTTTCCCAGAAATTGTGATTTATCAAGTTAAAATTTTGTGAATAAAAATAGGCAGGATTATTTTAGACCAACCTAGCGGTAGATTGCTAACCCGAAAATCTCGAGTACGAATCCGGGTTTGAGTCAGTGGAAAGACCCTGAGTTCTCCCAGCCCTGATAAGTACCTAGCTCACGTTAGGAAAAATAAATGCGGCTGGGCAGAGTGCTGATCGCAGTATGCCGTGGTCAAGAAACACATCAACGCTACTTCATCTACCCAATGGATTGCTATGTCTAATGAGGAATCCTTTTTTTTTCAACCAACTTGTAACGTATGAATACTAAGACGAAGATCGATTGTACTTCTCTAATGGATAATACTAAGTGAATGTGGACTTAATAGAATTTTACGAACTGTTACAATGGATATTTAATGGTTTAAAATATACTACAGGTGAAGATGATACTAGCTTGTCAAATGGATAAGGAATGTTGGATGCTTACTAGTCCACATAAGGAATGTTGGATACTTACTAGCCCATATAAGGAATGTTGAATACTAGTCTACATAAGGAATGTTGGATACTTACTAGTCCACATAAGGAATGTTGGATACTAGTCCACATAAGGAATGTTGGATACTTACTAGCTAATATAAGGAATGTTGGATACTTACTAGTCCACATAAGGAATGTTGGATACTTACTAGCCCATATAAGGAATGTTGGATACTAGTCCACATAAGGAATGTTGGATACTTACTAGCTAATATAAGGAATGTTGGATACTTACTAGTCCACATAAGGAATGTTGGATACTAGTCCACATAAGGAATGTAGGATACTTACTAGCTAATATAAGGAATGTTGGATACTTACTAGTCCATATAAGGAATGTTGGATACTTACTAGCCCATATAAGGAATGTTGGATACTAGTCCACATAAGGAATGTTGGATACTTACTAGCTAATATAAGGAATGTTGGATACTTACTAGCCCATATAAGGAATGTTGAATACTAGTCCACATAAGGAATGTTGGATACTTACTAGCTAATATAAGGAATGTTGGATACTTACTAGTCCACACAAGGAATGTTGGATACTAGTCCACATAAGGAATGTTGTTTACTAGCCCATATAAGGAATGTTGGATACTAGTCCACACAAGGAATGTTGGATACTTACTAGTCCATCTCACATCGACCAGCGCCGCTAGCGCTGCTGTGTTTGGCATGTACGTGAACATGGGTCTAATTTTGTGGTTCAAACTTATCGCACCAGATTCTCTTGTTATAGTGTCTTTCTTCCCTGTAGCAAGAACCCATGAGAGTAGAATGACGATTGCTGAAAAGTTTGCACAAGACTTGGTGAACTGATGTAGTAAAGACATCTAATATTTAAAGCAAAGTGGTCAGATGCTGATTAGGGCTATGGCGGTGCGTATCAAATTAGGCAGGCGTTCGCGTCAAGCGATCAGAACACGGGACAAATTCCTATTGGCTACGACAAGCATGTCAAAACTAAAGCTATTTACCAGTACCTTATATGATCAATAAATCGAAAAAATAATCCCACATCAAAACAACTTTTTAATATAATAAATTGAAAACATTCCTCACGTCAGAACCCTCTGACAATTCCTGAGGTCATAAAACGACCTCTTGGGGTAACGGAAAAGACGATGCTATCTTCGGCATAAACGTTGTAAATTTTTTGTGGAAAAAAAATCGAAGCGAAGTTTCATAACATAGACTCTTCTTCGGGATAAACATTGGAAATTTTTGTACATTGACTCTGTACATTTCCCTAATGTTTTGAATAAACATATATAAATAAATATATATATATACACACACACACACACACACACACACACACATATATATATATATATATATATATATATATATATATATATATATATATATAATTATGTCACGGTTAGACGCAGTGGCGGAACTAGAAATCAAAGGCTCCCCCGCAAAGAAAAAACTAGGGCCCCCTATATATATATATATATATATATATATATATATATATGGGGGGCCCTATATATATATATATATATATATATATATATATATATATATATATATATATATATATATATATATATATATATATATATATATATATATGGGGGGCCATATATATATATATATATATATATATATATATATATATATATATATATATATATATATATATATATATAAAATCTATATCCTAACTCAGGGGTCGGCAACCTGCGGCTCGCGAGCCGCATGCGGCTCTTTTGATATCAAGATGCGGCTCTCCAGCTCCTTGCACAAATACTAATAATCTTAATCAAAAAATAAAATATTTGAAATAAAAAAAAATGTTAGTGGCTCTTTAAAACCAAGGAAATTTTGAAAATTGTAACTTTTGGCTCTTCCGCTTCAAAAGGTTGCCGACCCCTGTCCTAACTGAATAATTTAGTCTACTTCATTGCAATATATAACCATTCTGAGAGGACAAACCAGAAAAAATATATTCCAAACTCATCCAGAGTGAAAGCCATTGTAAACACGCTGGTCAAAAATATATAAAGAAGTTAGCTTGATTCGTGAATGGTTTATCGCGTTATGTTTATTTTTTTCATTTTCGCCTTTATAATATCAATTTTGAAAACATTGATTTTTATAGCTATACTATTGTATAGTACGTCTTATTTAAGTAATAATTCAGAGAATCAATTACTTTTTAATATACACAGTACAAAACTATTTAAATGAGCTTCGTGGGCATCCCTATTTTAAAGAAGGGCAGTAAGTCATGGAAGTAGTGTGAATGTTTACCTACCTTTCAAACTATAGCTCTTGTAGATTTTAAAATATTTTTCTACGCAACAATCTCTGCTATAGTAGAATAGTTTTTTTTTTTTTTTTTTTTTTACAAAACCACTTTCAAGATGCATGAAAAACATAATTTTTGAAAAAAAAATTCATTGTTTTTTGGTCGGAACTGGGCCCCTAAACGTCCTGGGCCCCCCGCATTGCGGGGTCTGGCGGGTATGGTAGTTCCGCCCCTGGTTAGACGTAGATTCTATTGATGATTACGATAAGGCTTAAGCATCTTTGTTTTAATTTAATGTCAAGCTAATCATAACTAAAAGATCAATCATTTAATACTCATTTAAACAACATTATTCTTACTGCAACTGTGCATGATCAGTGACAAAACTAAAATACACAGATAGACACCCGGACGGGCGAGAAAGTGTATTTGTAAATGACTTTTAAATACGAAACAAGAAACTTCACACAAATCCAGTCTTACCCAGTTCTAGCACAGTGACTATTATAGATCTCTTGTAAACGATTAAACTCTTGTAGTTTAAGGCCGAAAACTGGCTTTTAATTTCTGCCCAGTCCGGCATTTTAAATGGAGATATCGCTGAAATGTATAAACATAGCAGGGACAAAATTTCACAAAGATGGAAGAAAAATAAAGGCAGAGCGAGATAAAGAGAGAGAGGGGGGAGGGGGAGGGAAGAGGGGTGCCAGTTACGTATAGTGGCGTAGGCAAGGGGTAGTTAGGGGGGTTATAACCCCTCCCATGGACTAACACCCCTATATATATATATATATATATATATATATATATATATATATATATATATATATATCTATAATATAAGCGGGCTGTGTCTGTCCTTCCTTCCTTCCTTCCGTCCGTCATCGCTATAGATTTTGGGACTATAAACGTAAACACTCGCACCATGCTGTGCTTTTCAGTGCACCGCAGTGTCTTATTATAAGTAATAGACTAGGGTTTGTTTATATAGCGGCATAGAGCTATTTTATAATTGTCACGGTTTTTACTCTTTCGCATAACGTCAAGAAAATATTAAATACACGCACATTGCTGAAACGTATTAAAAAGATTAATGTCAAATATCATTTTCGTTTAGGCTCCCAGAAAAAGTGGATATATTTTTATGAAAGTAGGTCAAAGAAACTAATTAATTCAACTTTTTTTTTGGTAATTTTTTGCAAGGGAGGTAATTTGAAAATATATTTAACTCATCAATTCCATTCTAAGTTAATTTTTTTTTATTACTACCGCATTGATTATTATATGTTAAGGTTCATAATTAAAAGGGAAAAATGTTAAGATTATTAATATTATTTATTATCATTTTCTAATTAGTCTATGATTTCTCAAAAAATCACTATCTTTTTGCTTTTGTTTTTCGGTGTTATGAAAACAGATGGTGAAATTAGACTTTTTGAGAAGAATGGAAAGGCTGTCTCTGAGCGCGGACGTATTTTTTAATATTCAACTCACTCTCAATAATTTAAAAGTTAATTTTTGTTATTACTTCCACATTGATTATTATATGTAAAGGTTCATAAGTAAAATAGAAAAATGTTAAGGTTATTTATATTATTTTCTAATTAGTCTATGATCTCTCAAAATCACTATTTTTTGTTTTTGTTTTTCGGTGTTAACAGAATGATGGTGAAATTTTAGGATTATAGTATAGAGAAGGCTGAAAAGGCTCTTTCTGGGCGCGGACGCCTGGGAAAAGCGTGTTTTTCGGTGGTGATTCTAATTACATTACCAATGTGTTTTCTTAGAACCATAAAAGTAAACGCCACTTGCCGTCCATTTATTTGCATCGCATTGTTTTATTGTAAGTTATGGAGTAGGATCTATTTATGTGACTTAAATAAAGGCTCTCTTTGGGCGCGGACGCCTAAAAAAGCGTGTTGTTTGGTGGTGATTCTAATGTTGTGGCTGTGGTTGTGTTGTGGTTGTGTTGAGGTTGTGTTGTGGTTGCGTTGTGGTTGTGTTGTGGTTGCGTTGAGGTTGTGTTGTGGTTGTGTTGAGGTTGTGTTGTGGTTGTGATGTGATTGTGTTGTGGTTGTGTTGTGTTTGTGTTGTGGTTGTGTTTTGTTTGTGTTGTGGTTGTGTTGTGGTTGCGTTGTGGTTGTGTTGTTGTATTGTGTTGTGTTTGTGTTGTGGTTGTGTTGTGTTTTGTTTGTATTGTGGTTGTGTTGTGGTTGCGTTGTGGTTGTGTTGTTGTGTTGTGTTGTGGTTGTGTTGTGGTTGTGTTGTCGTTGTGTTGTGGTTGTGTTTTGTTTGTATTGTGGTTGTGTTGTGGTTGCGTTGAGGTTGTGTTGTTGTGTTGTGTTGTGGTTGTGTTGTGGTTGTGTTTTGTTTGTGTTTATGTTTGTGTTGTGTTTTTGTTCGTTTTGTTCTGTTCCAAAAATGTACATTTAAAAAGATTTACCGTGGCGGAGCACGGGATGCAGCTAGTATATATATATGTGTGTGTGTGTGTGATTTGATACATATGGAACAATATTTGAACCACTCCCATGACCAATTCCTGGCTACGCCACTGGTTACGTATATAGACCTTAAACTTATGAATAAATACGTACAAATAGATAAAAAGATGTCTGCATACTACATGTTATCGCCTATTGAGATAAACGTTTATGGGCCCAGGGCTATTGATATTTTATTTAAATTTTTTCTTACGTACATCTGTAATCAAACTCTTTTTGCCGCTAAATAATTCCTTAAAACATTGACAATATTCGAATTAAAACGGTTGTTTGTACAGTTTATAAAATATTTTCTTTGTTTGGAAGCTTTCTTTTAAGCATCGCTTGAGTTTAGTTATAGCCCTTTGTATAAAGCTAGTTTTAATTCTCCATTTCTGAAGTCTAAGTTACACGGAAGATGAATAAGAGAAAAGAGATGTTTGTCAAATGTTCTGTCTCGCCCAGAAATGGATTATTAATTAGGAATAATCAGTGGCGTAGCGAGGTTGGGTGTCACCCGGTGCGGCATATAATGGTGTCGCCCCCCCACCCCAGAGGCGTCTTCCCGGGGACAAACTTTCAATTTTCGATTTGCACCCCCCCCCCCCGTAAAAATTCGATTTGCACCCTCCTCAAACTTTTCTCAATATGTTTTACTATTTTTTGCCTTGGTGTCGCCCCCCCCCCCCTAAATGGTGTGGTCTGCAACTCCCGACCCCCCTCGCTACGCCTCTGGGAATAATTCTTCCCTGATCCAAAGCGATCTTTATCAATATTCATTAAGGGGGTAGGCTCCGGGAAAGAACGGGGAAAAAAACTTTTTAATTAAAAAGCCTTTTCCATTTTTTTTTTAATGTATAAGTTAGGTTATTTAAGGGAAAATATTTGCATGTGCCAGGGACTCTTCTGAAAATATGGTTGCCATGGAAACGGCCATCTTGGAAAAAACTACCTTTTGTGGAGTTCTAAAATTTCCTAAAGTAACATATAAACCGCCCATATAATCATTGATTCTTCTTGTACTAACACTAATAGAGTCAGCTGGCTAGTTTTTGTAACAAAAAAAAAACAGCTAGAAATATTTTTTTTTCAAATTTTCAAAAACATTTATGGTGAAATTCCATTGAATTTAGCATTAATTTCAATGGAATTTTGTCGCACCAAATTTTGAAAATTAAAAAATTAATATTTTTGAGTAATTTCTGTTACAAAAACTAGCCAGCTGACTCGAGACTTTTCGGTTTAGCAACCATGAGCTTTACCGACTCGACCACGCCGACGCCTTGATATTCTTTTTAATTTAAAGAAGATTGAATAATATTAACTGCAAAATTAAACTAATACATACATGTTATATTTATCAATTGATAATGTACACACAACACATCCACTTCTGCATACAAACTAGCAATAAACTCAAGCTTTCTACACAAAGCTTATGCGTTTTCTTTTGTGATACACACACTGCCCCCCCCCCCCCACACACACAATCGACCCACACACTTGACCGACATACTTGAGCCACACAACTGACCCACAGAATTAACCCACACGTTGAAACACACTTAATCCACTCACCTGGCCCTCACAGTTGACCCCACACTTGACCCCCACAATCGACCCACACACTTGACCGACACACTTGAACCGAAGAACTGACCCACAGAATAAACTCACACTTTGAAACACTTAACGCGCACACTCGACGCACACACTCTACCCACACACTTGGCCCTCACAGTTGACCCACACACTCGACCCTCACAGTTGACCCACACACTCGACCCTCACTGTTGACCCACACACTCGACCCACACACTCGACCCTCACAGTTGACTCACACAGTTGACCCACACACTGACCCTCACAGTTGACGGAAACACTCGACCCACACACTTTGCCCTCACAGTTGACCCACACAGTTGACCCACACAGTTGACCCTCACAGTTGACCCACACACTCGACCCACACAGTTGACCCACACACTGACCCACACACTTGACCCTCACAGTTGACCCACACAGTTGACCCACACACTCGACCCTCACAGTTGACCCACACACTTGACCCTCACAGTTGACCCACACACTTGACCCTCACAGTTGACCCACACACTCGACCCACACACTCGACCAACACACTTGACCCTCACAGTTGACCCACACACTCGACCCTCACAGTTGACCCTCACAGTTGACCCACACACTCGACACACACACTCGACCCACACACTTGACCCTCACAGTTGACCCACACACTTGACCCTCACAGTTGACCCACACACTTGACCCTCACAGTTGACCCACACACTGACCCTCACAGTTGACCCACACAGTTGACCCTCACAGTTGACCCTCACAGTTGACCCACACACTGACCCTCACAGTTGACCCACACACTTGACCCTCACAGTTGACCCACACACTGACCCTCACAGTTGACCCACACAGTTGACCCACACACTGACCCTCACAGTTGACCCACACACTTTGCCCTCACAGTTGACCCACACACTTGACCCTCACAGTTGACCCACACACTCGACCCTCACAGTTGACCCACACACTGACCCTCACAGTTGACCCACACACTCGACCCTCACAGTTGACCTACACACTCGACCCACACAGTTGACCCACACAGTTGACCCTCACAGTTGACCCTCACAGTTGACCCACACACTGACCCTCACAGTTGACCCACACACTTTGCCCTCACAGTTGACCCACACTGACCCCCACAGTTGACCCACGCACTTGACCCTCACAGTTGACCCACACACTGACCCTCACAGTTGACCCACACAGTTGACCCTCACAGTTGACCCTCACAGTTGACCCACACACTGACCCTCACAGTTGACCCACACACTTTGCCCTCACAGTTGACCCACACACTTGACCCTCACAGTTGACCCACACACTCGACCCTCACAGTTGACCCACACACTGACCCTCACAGTTGACCCACACACTCGACCCTCACAGTTGACCTACACAGTTGACCCACACACTCGACCCACGCACTTTGCCCTCACAGTTGACCCACACACTCGACCCTCACAGTTGACCCACACACTCGACCCTCACAGTTGACCCACACACTCGACCCTCACAGTTGACCCACACACTCGACCCTCACAGTTGACCCACACACTCGACCCACACAGTTGACCCACACACTCGACCCACACACTTGGCCCTCACACTGTTGAACTGATGTTGACTCCTCCCGTCCTAGATACGGTCTATAAATAACGTTTGTCAACTTTATCCGTGTTTACCTCACCACAATGTCACACACTATCGCTAAGGGCAAGACACTTCCGTTAATAACATCACACTGCTCCCACTCTCCCACCCCCACCCCCACACACCCCTATTCATGTTTTGTAGAATTTGTCAAATACGAAATATAAACTACTCCGCATTTCTTATACTGGAACTATCTTATTGTATGTTTAAATATAACTCAACTTCCTCTATAGACGCTAACAAATTTAACTGCTAGACATTGTTGTTTTCTTACTCACTCATCTCCCCCTGTCTAGGGCACAAAGTCCAGCATACAACCGAAAACTCTATACCCAACCCTTGACCCCACTCGTTACCCTAGACCAGGGGTCGGCAACCTGCGGCCCGCGAGCCGCATGCGGCTTTTTTGTTGTAAAGATTCGGCTCTCCAGCTCCTTGCACAAATACTAATCATCTTAATAAAAAAAAAAAATACTTGAAATAGAAAAAATATTAGTGGCTCTTTAAAACTAGGGAAATTTTGAAAATTGTAACTTTTGGCTCTTCCGCTTCAAAAGGTTGCCGACCCCTGCCCTAGGCCTAACCCATCATAACAGCGAAACATTCTGGGGAAAACAGTATGACTGTGCATAATGTAGATGTAGATCTATAAGTTTTGCCTTTTGTGTGTTTATTAAAATAATTGGTTCCTTAGAACTTAAAGTTATAGAATAGTCTAAAAGTCTAATAAATCTTTATATTTACCACCACTTCAAGAGTCAGTCAAATATAAGGCTGCATACAGAAAAGATTAGGTTTACACTTATTTAGAAAGTTGACTGCAAAAAAAAGTAAAGATTGAGATATATTCAAAATTCATCGGTAAAATAAACAGAAATTGTGAGTTTTTAAAACAAAATGCTTTTAACTCTTCTGTTGTGGAAGTTCACACAAGCATTCAGTTCAGAACAAGATACCTTTGATGTTCTTAACTTAGCTTTGGAAATTACAAAGGAAGTGCGTAGTTGATTGTTTAGCGTGTTTTGCTTTCTCGTATACGAAGTGTAAAGGAGGTACTGTAATCGTGCAAAAAATCGAAATAGTTTTATACCTTATTCCAGGGGTTCCCAACCTTTTTTTTACTCTAGAGCACATTCTAAAATATCGGTAGGGAGGCGGGCACCACCTATTTTAAATCGACAAACTCCTTCCAGAGGCGTAGCGACCCTTCCTGACGCCCTTCGATTTGCACCCCCCTCAAACTTTCGATATGCACCCCCCCCCCCCCTCAAACTTTCGATTTGAACCCCTCCCCTCAAACTTTCGATTTGCACCCCCCCCCCCTCCTCAAACTTTCAATTTCCATCCCCCTTTAACCTTTCAATAATGCTTATGAAAAAAAAAATCTATCTCTGTCGAATAGTGAGAGGCGGGCACATACGAATCGTTCGGCGGGCGCCATGGCGCCCGCGGGCACAGGGTTGGGAACCCCTGCCTTATTCAGTCGGAAAAACGAACTTTTGCAATTTTGTCCCTATGTCTCTCTCTCTCCTGTGTGTGTGTGTTAACAAGATAGCTCAAATACCGTTACAGCTGGGTTGATGAAACGTCATACATAAGTATTGTATCAAATGCGTAGTTCTGTATTAAATTTTCAACGATTTTCGGTAACCGGAAGTGGAACTTCTTCTTTCAGTTTTTCAAAAGCCTATGAGTACTGTTTCTGATGGATCGACGAAAATTCACATATAAGTAAAAGAACTACTTCTCTGTTTTCTTTCAAATTTTGAGTAATTTCCGGTGGTCGGAAGTAGGAATTGAGCTATCTTTGTTGTTCACCTGGTGCGCAATTCTTTTTTTTTTCTACGAGATTGTATTCTATTTTTAAAAGTTTAATTAAAATTTGTTTAAAAATCATGTCCATATCCCCATTAGCCATTCCACGAAGTGTTATATAAGTATATTCGAGATAATTTAAGGGAGATAGCACCGGCTTTATTCTCCTTGAAATTAGTGTAAAACTCTTCGTTAAAAAATCATTTTAGTGACTTACCTCCCTTTCAAATTGACCGAATAAACTCACTTTTGTTTTGAACGAACTCTCGAGTTTTTCCCTGACTGGAACTCTGCTATTAGGAAATATAATGTACAGTGCACGTGTTTCTGTAATCTCTGCATATGAAGGGATCATGTAATCAGTTCTAAACCCAAACCGTCTTTTTTACTTTCCCAAACATGATTCAGGAACCCATTAGAGCTGGGTGGACTCAGTAAATTTAAAGAGTAGGAGTTAAGACAACTTATTCAAACAGATATTCAAATACATTTTGTGTAATTAAAAAAAAAATTCTTACAAGTGAATTGGTCAAGACTCCATTCAAAAAGCTATTTAACAGATTTTTAATAATAAAAAACACTGAGTTATATATGAATCTATCAAGTTTCCATTAAAAAAAAAAATTCAAATTTAGTAATAAAAACATAATTCTTATGTAGGAATTGATCAAGATTCACTGATTAATTTTAAAAAAGAAACACATTAAAAATATTTTTTTAATGATTGAACAATGCAATTGTATAATGTAACTAGTGCTACCAAAATGAAATAAAGCCTTTTTAAATACCAAATATAGTAAAATATCAACACAAATTTGTAAAATACAATCTAAAATTGAAATGACATACTGGTAGGACAAAAGGCAGTTTTATGCAAATTAAATAATAACTTGGAATGGAATTGCTTACAATGTCTTGCTTTTAAAATGTATAAAAAATTGTGTTACATATATATTAAAAAACTATAAACTATAACAAGGATAAGATTCAATGGGTTACAATAAAAAAAAATCTTAAATGATGAATTATATATTAAACACAAAAAATCTGCAGTTGCTAGGCTACAATCTGAAATAAAAACATTAAAAAAGGAATCAAATTTGAAACATGAAGGTATTTGGCAAAAATATTTCTAATAATTAAATGTTCCTTTAAAGGGAAATAACTATTCATTGACAAAATGTGTCATGTTAAATAATACCACTAATGTGAAGCTTTCATCAACTTGGTAGATAGTTTCTGACAAGCCTCTTTCTGCTCTCTACAGCAGAAATTGAAATAAACCAAACCACAAACCAATCCTACAACAGGGTTTAATTATTTTAATCTACAAGGGAAATAACTCCCATTTAGAAAGTTACTTAAAGGGTCTCAGTATTTTTTTCAGGGAAAACAACCAATCTTTAGTGGATAACTTTTTTTTTTTAACATAAAATTAAAAAAATATATTTTGGAACCTGTTACAGATAAAAAAAAGTTTTTTTTCTAAATTTTCAGCCAATATTACAAAAACAAAGATATGAAAGTTTCTAAATAATTGTTCGAATAAAAAGAGGTTTAGGAATAAATTGTTGCTTTTAATATAGTGACTTTCTCGTGCAAAAGTAATAACGAAACAAGCAAATCTTAATGTACCATTATTTCCCTTACATCATTCTCTCCCTTTAAAATAGTTATGTATGATTATTTTTTTCCTTAATTTTTGAAAAAAGAATAATTTATCAACTCAGTACTTCTGCAATAATTAGTGAAAGATCTAGGATTAGCTCCAGAAAACAACACTTTTTTTTTAAAATCCCATATATCAAAACATTTGTGACAATATTCCTTATAAAAACCTGGATTCAACATAAAAGTAACATAATAATTAACAAAAAAGAAATAACTTACATTTATACACACTTATTATAACTCTATATCTATATCTCTCTCTCTATATATATATAGATAGATATATAGACAGATAGATAGATATAGTTATATATAGATATATATATATATATATGTCTGAGCTCAAAATGTAAATGAGTATTAAAAGCACAATACAAGCTCTTGAAATATAAATGCATAATCAAATCTATATATATGATTCTCTTCTTGGAGACTAGGAAAACACCAAGCTGTAAGTGCGCTCCTTACCACCCCCACCCTTACATGGTCTGATGAACTGTGGTTCACGCTAAATGTTAACAATCGTAGAGCCGGGTTTAGTGATGGCTATTAGGGGCAGATAATTTTGTTTGAAACTATTTTAAACTTAGGGGAGGTAACTAAGAGTAGTTTGCTTTAAAGGGGGGTGGAGGGTGGGGTAGGGGTAGGGGGAAAGATGGGGGTATCGTCCTTAACACCATCTGATAGTGTTTTAAAGCAAATATTTTCAGTGGCAGCCTTGGTACTGTAGTATTCACAAATTATAAATTACTGAAAAGTAGAAAATAAAACAACCTAATAGCGGCACGTATTTCTATATTTAAGCTCACGAGTCTCAAAATCTACTAATTTGTTTGAAATATTATTGGATACAAATTAGTGTGAATCTATGAATAATAATAGGCATATAATTAATTAGTAATAAAAGTAGGTATATAAACTTCCTTTTTTGCAAACAATGGACAGCTGAAGATTAAAATTCATTTTTTAAAGCAGTTATGTTTATGTTATCAAAAACTAAGCTTATGCCTTGTAGATAAATAAGGCGGCAGTACCACCCAGACAATGGAGAATTGCTGAAAAAATTCACCCAAAAAACAACTATTATACAACACACATACATTTTTTTTACAATAGTAGTTTTAATCAAGGAGCTATAAAACAGCACATAAGAGAAAGTCAACCTATGGCTGGAATTACCAGATTTTCATTGTGACAATATTAATTAATTATAAAATTGGACCAATTTGATGGTAATTATATAATTTTCTAAAAAGACACCATGTACTAAATGAGCGGATATAAACATATCGAAACTTTATACCAATTTTTAAATGGTGTTTGTATGGTTTCGTAAAATTATTTACAATAAATTTAGAAATGTATAAAAATATAAGTAAACTAAGTTTTATAAGAAATGTTTGGTATACATATACCCAACAAATTATATGCTGTATTATAGCAGTAGAAACATTAGTACTACTGTAAAAGTTTGACAAGTGTATGTCTGAAAGTTTTTTTAGTTAATTTTTTTTATTCTCTCCCTTAGCCTAGGTGACACAGACCTCGGAATTGTTATTTAGGTAATGACTGGTTAAGAAAACCTTTAGTGCATTTCATTCTATCAACCAAGCTCTAGCATAAAATCTTTTATTAAATCAACTTTTACCACATTTGATGGGAGTTGTCTTTTACGATGGATTGAACTTTATCGAACTTTAATTGTTTTTTTGCTTTTTACCTTGATTTTTTTTCAAGTTGGACAAACAATTTCTTGTTTCTTTACCTGGGTTATTAATATTTATATAGCTTTTGTTTTTTTATAATAGTTCGAATGATAGAATAAATATTAAGTTTTTTCCCTGGGGTTTTTGTTGGGTTTGTTAGAATGGTTTTTGTACATTTTCTGACCATGGCTTTTGTTTAACTTTTTTGACCTTTTTTTTTTTGTTTTACCATGGTTTTTTGTTTAGTTTTTTACCATGGATTTTATGAAATCACAAGCCAAGGTAAAAGCCGTTTTCCCACTTTGTGATTGTAAAATTTCAGGGATCATTTTCACAGTGTCGGCATGGTAACCGCCATACCCAATATGTGTTTTAACCATAACCCCAGCGTCTAGAAGCCTCCTGGCGTACAGCAAGGCATCATCACGTAGTACATCAAACTCACAAGCATGAACATAAGCGGGAGGTAACCCAGACAGGTCTGGCGCCATCAGGGGAGAGAAGAGAGGATTGACAATGATTGGTTCAACTTTGGCTGCAACTTGGGGGTCATAGGGTTCTGTGACAACAGGGGCTGTCTTGTTTGGGGTTCTGAACATCTTGGGCAGGAATTCGACATCGACGTATTCAGAATATTTGGACTTTTTAAACTCCGGCGAAATATGTCTGTTTTCCATCAGTATTTTAGCGTAATGTTCTGCATTTTTATCATCTGCAGAAAATCTGATTATAATTAGTCATAAAAAATATTTTTTAATGTATTTATAATCAGATACATCAAGGTACCCTATAAAGACCTGAGAATCAACATAGCAGGTGAAGTGGAGTTTGCTTATTTTCAATGTCCCCTGCATGTAATGTGATAGGTGTCAAGCACCAAGCTCGGTTGTCTTTACCTGACTGGAACAGGGTACCCAATAGTGCTGGGTGAACTCAGGAAAAGCAAGGACTCCGGTTCTAGAACCAGAGTCGAGATTTTAATGTCAGAAATCACAATTTCACTCAACTGCTTTACTACTCAACCATATTTATTCATACACTATTGAAATCTTCATTGATCCATACATAGTGCCTTTACTAAACTATTAATATGATATATATAATAAAATCTCAACTTTCTAATAATTTTATTGATCTGTTCCATAATATGTAAACAAAATTGTTGAATATTAGGAATAGAGCTAGAGCGTATTAATTTCAAGTTAGCTGTTATATAGCTGTTATATAGCTGTTATATAGCTGATACATATATTTTAAGTAAGCCATGGGATGACATGTTTGAGTATAAAACTACAACACTGAACGTTTCGAGTTTGGATTCCAGGCTAGAGTCCATAAAACATCACTGAGTCCACCCAGCTCTGATGAGTACCTGGCTCAAGTTAAGAAAAGTAAAGATGGCTGGGCATAGAACTAACCACACTATCCCTTCATACCAGGGGTCACAGAAACAGGTAAACTCTACTACATCTGTCCTATTGACGGCTATATACAAAAAGGATAACTATACTCAAAAACGAAACAGGTTAGACTAAACACACATATAAAGGCTGTCATGGTTGTGAGGGTGTCAGGAATCTTGTATAGAATACACGAAACACTCATTAAGGCTAGGTACAACAGTCGTTACTATTTTTAATCAATCGCCTTCCCATTTACACATCAACCTGTCTACTTTCACCCCAACCTTCAACTGCACTCCGCATTCATTCCTACACACCACCTTTCTCGCGCTCACAACAAAACCGCTGTCACTCGACCAGTCACTTCCCTTGTACCCTCGTTCACTCCGTACAACAACATACACATCAACACACCGGCCTCGCGTATCACAACAGTATACATACACCCACTCAGTGATCTGTTCCACGTACACACCTTTCATACACATTACATCATCACAGTGTTCTTACCTAGTCCGAGGTAAAGAACGTAGAACACAGCCATCGACTTGGCTGTCAGTATGGGCATGGTGTTGCTGTTGTCCACATAGGCAGGTAGTCTGAAGTCTAGAGCCTGCAGGGCTGGGTAGGACAGAACTTGGTACTTGAGAGGTGGAAGGTCAGATTCTTCTTTGGCCAGGGTCAAGGCCACTACAGCAGCTAAATTACCACCTGCACTGTCACCTGGATTTTAATTCATTGGTTAACTTTATTGATTTGTATAATTAATTAGTTTACTTAATTGATTTTTATTATGAATTAGTTTATTTTATTGATTTATATATTTAATAAGTTTACTACCACCTGCACTGTCATCTTGATTTTAATTAATTTGTTTACTTTATTGATTTATATAATTAATTAGTTTACTTTATTGATTGATATATTTAATTAGTTTACTGTATTGATTTATATAATTCATTAGTTTACTTTATTGATTTATATAATTAATAAGTTTACTGTATTGATTTATATAATTAATTAGTTTACTGTATTGATTATAATTCATTAGCTTACTTTATTGATTTATATAATTAATTAGTTTACTGTATTGATTTATATAATTAATTAGTTTACTTTATTGATTTATATATTTAATAAGTTTACTACTTTATCACATGAATTAATTAAACAATCCAAGAAGTGATCTCCAGCTATGTGGGTTTTTTTTTAAAACTTTATTTGAAACAGTGGTAGGATGAAATCATTAACCAAACTCATAATTTATTGTCTAGCCAAATTGAATTTGACAAGTTTATTATTATAAGACAGGAATTTTTTTTAAAAATGTAAAAAATCAAGACTGGTTACATACATAGAGTATGTTTAGCATTTCTTTCAAAATATAAAATATAAACACTAGCACTTATAAATATTACAGGGCCTATCATGCATGATTTATCTTAGTGTTTATAAATAAAACCAAAAACTTTATATCTAAAAAAAAAAGCATGAATGAAGAAACCGATTTTCAAAACACAGGTGTGTGGGGTTGTTCGTTATATAATCTAGACTAGTTTTATTGTTAGAATCAGGGTTAGGCATATAAATAGGATGAGGGTTGGGATTAAAAAGCCATGTATTTTAGTTAACTACCAGTAACCTAACACCCCTATTTTTAAGAACATTCTATTATCGGACACTGGTATAAAAAGTTATTGTTAGTACTCACCACCCACCCCAACTTTGTTGACATCAATCCCAAAAGTTTTTCCATGACGCAGCACGTATTGCGTCACCTCCAAGCAATCCTGAGCTGGGATAGGGAACGGATACACTGGTGCACGGCGATAGCTTAAAAATAATTTGAAAATTCTTCTCAGTTAGAAAGTAAGTTTCTGAAAAGTCCTGTACTATACAAAACAAAATAAGCTAATATTCAAATATATTTTAAATTCACAGTTACTTGCAGTTTTAAAATTAAGGAATAATTAACATACTCAACATTGATGACAATAATATTTGCTTCCTTGGCATAATGATAAGCATTAAGGTCCCATTCATCTGTAAAATAACAGAAAGGTGAAGGTCAAATATTTCCTAATTGTTATATAAATATAAAATATCTTTGCTTTAATCATTCATAAAGTAAGTCCATAATGACACTTAAAACTTGAAAATATTTGTTGATAAAATCACACAAATTATGTAAGGTCTAGCCCTATACCTAATGGGAGTAAAATACCCATCTGAGTCCACCCAGCTCTAATGGGTACCTAACTCAAATTCAGAAAAGTAAAGGTGGCTGGGAATAGTATGCCAAGGTCACAGAAACAGGTGAACTACTCCACTTGCCACATGGGCTGTCAGTTTTGAAAGGAAACTTGACTGACTAGCCCTATATTTAACCCTAGTTCCAATCTTAAAAATTAATATGAGTATTGTTATTGGTCTTCTTCTTCTTCGTTCTTAATTTTAGTGTTGGGAGGGATCCCCTCCAACACAATAAAGTTTACATGTCAACTGGTTATGCCTAATCGAGGCCATTGACTAAGAATTTAGCCAGCATTTCTTTTTAGATTTGCTTCCATAGCCTTTGTACAACCAAGAACAAACTACAAGGCAACAGTTGTTTAATTTTAGAAGTGTCTCTCCTAGAACAGTGTCTGTCCCCAGCTTAACTCAATATTAGCTGTATTAGCAAACTAGCTGCCAATGTTGCTGGACTTTGAAGATTCACCTAACAGTTATGATAGTATAAGATAAAGGGAAATAACCTTTTACAATAAATGCAATAGAATTCAATATTTACAACCACAAACAAGTCAATCACTTAGTACCTGTGTTTAAACTACTTTCCACATAATGCAAACATCTTGTTGTGCTCTATGAAAGAGATTTGTGCTTAAGTACCACATACAAATAGAATGTGTTCCAGACTTTACCCTTGCCAGATAAAGAAGTCAAATACTGGCCAAATGTGTTTTTACTTTCAGTAATGGCGTGCTATTAATCGAAAACAAATGCTATGTTTTTCTACCGTACATTTACTGGACCAATCAGAGCCAACTTTCAGAAAGAAGATTCAAAGATTACCAGCAGTGCCTAGGACCCAGCCTCCACCAAATCAAAACTTTCACAAAGAAAATTCAAAGATTACCAGCTATGCCTAGGACCCAACCACCACCAAATCAAACTTTCACAAAGAAAATTCAAAGATTACCAGCTATGCCTTGAACCAAGCCACCACCAAATCAAAACTTTCACAAAGAAGATTCAAAGATTACCAGCAGTGCCTAGGACCCAGCCACCACCAAATCAAAACTTTCACAAAGAAGATTCAAAGTTTACCAGCAGTGCCTAGGACCAAGCCACCACTAAATCAAAACTTTCACAAAGAAGATTCAAAGATTACCAGCAGTGCCTAGGACCCAGCCTCCACCATGGAAGAATATAAGTGCAGGAGACAGCTCCTCTGCAGTGTGGGGTCTGTATACAATCACAGGGACATTGGCTACTCTATCCCTAGTCACCTGAGAGAAAGAATGATCTAGATTAGTAGCTTCAAAAATATATTTACTTTCTATCTCCAGGACAAATTGCAGAATATGTTACCACACTTCAGGTGTACAAAATCCAATTACTTTTAGTCATTTTCCAGTCATATGGGACTGAGCAGCGACCTGCAGTCATCATAACAGAATGGGATGTGAAAATTTTGTTTTAGCTCCACTCTGCAAGATTTACACAGAGTTACGTTTAGGTCAAAGAAACAGATGACATCTACTTCATCTGCCCTACAGACCACCACGTCTTAAAAGCTAACATTTGTATAGCTCAACCTTGCCATCCCACTACAGTTTAGTTTACAACAAAGGCATTATAAAAAAAAATGAGCCGACCCGCGGCGTATGACACGCTTCTATTTAGTTTTATTTTCCACTTTTCAGTAATTCATAATTTGTGAATTCGTCAGTACCAATGCTGTCAGTGAAAAAATATTTGCTTTAAAACACTAAAACCCTCCTTCCCCCCCCCCCCCCACCCGTGAAAGCAGCCTCCTCTTAGTTACCTCCCCTAAGTTTAAAATCGTTTCAAACTAAATTATCTGCCCCTAGTAGCCGTCACTAAACCCGGCTCTACGATTGTAAACATTTAGAGTGAACCACACCTCACCAGACCATGTGGGGGTGGGAGTGGTTGCGATATGCATAGAGAGGAAGAGATGGGACTGCTAGGTGTGCTTACAGCTTGGTGTTTTCTAACGTCTCCAAGACGAGAATTATATATATAGATAGTTTGTATAAAAGTATATTTCATACCAAGTCACCTCAAATTTAAAATAGATCGGCGAACTTTGCACAAATATGCAAAAGTTCTAGTCAAAGATGTTTTGCCATTGAGTAATTACAAATGAAAATTACTTAAAAAAACAAATTGTTGGCTCTGTTTGTCAAGTTTTTGTTTATGTTTAATATGATACATATAATCATAATTAGAATATGAAATTTAAATCTGTAGAGATGGTCATCTAATTTAAACAGGTTGTTAAATTACAAGCATACAAAAATAAATCACACAACCGTTCAGAGACAAATGTAAACAATTTTTGTAATAAACGTAAGGAATGATATTCTCCTAACTATAACATAAATACATAAGTAATTAAATAATTGTATACTTATTATAATTATTATATTTATATTTATTTATATTATTTATTATAAATATTAAATTTATTTATATTATTTATATTATAATTATTATAATTATATACATAAATAATTAAAAGATGTAATTAAATTTGAATCCGGCACATACCTTTACATCCCCGTACTTGGCTGATGGTAGATCCCCTTCTAGAGTTATCTCACCCTGGAAGTTCCTCAAGTTGTTGTGCCAACTCTCGTAGCCAAATATTTGTTTAAGATTCATCTGGAAATATTTCTTTTGTATAAAGCTACCTTGATCACAAAGTGTAAATGCTAGAGCACATAGTCACTATGGCAACTTAAAACTGTTAATCCTAGTAATCTATGTAATAGTCTTTATCTTTATCATATTAAAAATCGTGGTGTTTAATTTCAAAGAGTAATTAAACTATAATTAATTAATATGGACGGCATGGTTGAATGGTGGAGCCTACAACTGCTAACCCAGAAGTTTTGAGTTCAGGTCCCGGGCTTGAGTCAGTAGAATGTGCCTTAGTCCACCCAGCTCTGATGGGTAACTGACTCAGATTAGGGAAAACAAAGGCAGCTGGGCAGTGTTGACCTACACTATCCCTCATAACGAGGTCAATAAAACAGATGAACTCTACTTCACCTACCCCATGTGTCTTAGGCGCAAACGGGAAAAGATGATAAAGTTATCACAATTGAATAGCTCGCCATCTCCAACTTGTACTTACTACAAAGAACATAATCTTCATAACCCCCATGAGTATTTGTGTTTTGTGTGGATCTTGAAGTCCATCAGGCATTGGGGTGTAGCCTATGATGGCTATGGCCACCACTAGAACTGTTAACACAATTAATAAAAGTCTCAGCAGCATTGCTAGTTATTTCCCTTGACTGGCCTTCTGAAAATACAATTTTATAAATTAACTGAAAAAAAACCCAACTATTTATTTCTCTAGGCTGACCTTCTAAAAGTAACATTTTTTATCAATTTAACTAAAAAAAAATCTAATTATTTCTCTGGGTTGGCCTTCTGTGAACATACAATTTTTATAATTTAATTGAAATAATAAAAAAAAAAATGAAATAAATCATTGTTATAAAAGTTGTCCCCCTTAGTTTCATGAGTAAAACATTTTATGAATGTTGTAGTGCTGGTTTGCTAAGTTTTATTTTTACACAAGCTACAGGCACATTGAATGGCACAGTAGAGTGGATTTGGTAGAAATGTCACTATACATAATACATAATCAAGGTATTAGATCTATGTGGTCTGTTTTGTTGTTTAACTGTTATCATTGTGTTTATAAGGATGAGAATATTTTTTTGATAATTTAGTCTTCTTAGAACCTGTATCCTAATCCAAAACTCAAAAAAAATAAATAAATCAAATAATTAATTGTTTAGCCTCAGTAAGTATTAAGATGAATGTGCATTTGTATTCAAATAATGTTCACTTGAGCAGCAAAAAATTAGACCTACAAGATTTTTTCAAAATGGATCTCTAGTGTGTGAAGTCAATTAAAATGTAAAGTCCAAAGAAGTGACTTGCTGTTGATGAATTCAGAGAGATATAGATCTACTTTATTTGCCTAATCAGTCGTTATCAATAAATCTTTTTCTTAGACTACAAGTCTAAGCATGTCTTACCAACTTAGTAAATAGACATGTGACTTAGTCTAGATCTAAGGTTGTTATATTATTTACATTCATTAATACTAATTGATAGGCCCCCTAATTAATTAGGCCTAATATTATTAATAAGAAAAAGGTTGGGAGGGGGGGGGGCATGGGAAGGAAAGATTGGCTGGCTGATATTACTGATAATCTTGAGTTGAGTCTTGTTCCTTCAAGTTGAAGGCAATAAATTTAAGGCTGATGCTAGCCGGAAAAAGATACGCATGCACAATGGAGAGAAACTATGTTTTAGGCCATCGCGGCGATGTTTTCGATGGTACTGCGCATGCGTGTGTTTACAACCGCAGAACCCTAACACCAACCCTAATCCTATCCCTAACCCTAATTCTAACCCTAGCCATAGGTCACTGCGCATGCGCAAAGCTATCTTTTGCCGACTAAATGGAGACGTTGGGGAAAAAAATCTTCCGAGTAGTCACTTCGTAAATTTAAATCTTTGCTCTAAAATGTCTAAAATCTAAAACGTACTTAGTACATAATAAAAGGTAATCTATCGTATTAGGTACATAAAATCGCCCGCGCCTAGTAATGTACGAAAAAGTTATCTCATTGTCAAGGCTTTAATAGAAGTATATTGTGATATATTTGTGTGAAATATTATAGATACATGAATAATAAACCTAAATCAATGGCTAAATATATCAATATAGGCAAGAAATTAACTTTAAACAGCAGTGTTTGCGAGCAGGATTTGCTATATAAAAAGCGGCCATCTGTAAGTTAGAATGGCTTCCCCTGAATCTTGCGCTATAAGTTTACAATAAAATAAAAAAAACAAGATTGCTGCTTTAGTAAATGAGCACGGTGGCATCTGTTGGAAACATTGCTAGTCTTCATTTATTACTGAAAAGTTTTAATTAAGTTGTTTAAAAACAGGTACATAGGCCTAAATGAAACAAGGAAATATTTTTGTATTTTTCAAAACATAAATCCTCCTCAAAATGTGAAATAATTATTAAAAATAAATAGAAATGTAGCCTTAAACTCAACAAATTATTTTCAAGTTCTCTGGATTTGCAACTTTTATAGCATTTATTCTAAAAATATAAAATTTCTAAATTAATTTTAGGCTTGAGTTTTTGTTTTAATTTTTTTTTTACGGTCTAAATCTAAAAAGCACGTTTTTATTCCATGTCAACAACACTATGGAAGGAATCTCGTCAACTCGCTTGTCTCCATTATTAAAATTTAAGGAGTCACCTGTTTTTCACATTACTAGTCGCAGGCGATTTTACGTACCCAAAGCGATAGATTTCCTTTTAATTTAATATAGATCTAGATCTAGTTATAGTAAACTAAGTAAACATATTATAAATATTAATAAATAAATATAAATATTATTACATATTAGGCCTACATTAGAATTCATTAGATTAGATCATTAGTTATTACTACATACTACAAAGTAATAGTATTTATCAGACAAAACTCTAAACAGAATAATATTAATGACTAGAATCTAGGGTAATCTATCGTTTTGGGTACGTAAAATCGCCCGCGGCTATTTATGTACGAAAACGTTACCTCGTTGTCAAGGCTTTAATAGAGGTATATTGTCATACTTTTGTGTCAAATATTATAGATAAATGAATAATAAACCTAAATCAATGGCTAAATATATCAATATAGGCCAGAAATTAACTTTAAACAGCAGTGTCTGAGAGCAAGATTTGCTATATAAACAGCAGCCATTTGTAAAATAGAGTGGCTTCCCCCTGAATCTGGCGCTAAAAGCTTATGAAAATAAAACTTAGACAAGATGGCTGCTATAGTAAATGAGCATGGTTGCATCTGTTGGAAACATCGCTAGTCTTCATTTATTACGGAAAAGTTTTAATTCAATTGTTTAAAAACAGGTACATAAATGAATCAAGAAAACATTTTTGAATTTTTAAAAACAAATCCTCCTCAAAATGTGAAATAATTATCAAAATTTAAAAGGAGTCACCTGTTTTTCACATTACAAATCGCGGGCGATTTTACGTACCCAAAACGATAGATTACCTAATCTAGATCGACATCTAGTCTAAATTAATATTGAATTAACTGAGCATTAACATTTAACTGAAATTTAAATTTAGTAAAATGCTCCACGTCTTACTTTATGAGTAAGACTGCTTTGTAAACAACGACAGGATGAACTTTGAACCCGAGTTCAAGGGAGGCTACTCTTTTAAATATCCCATATTTGAGAAACTGGAGTTGGTTGCTGGAAGGTTATAAATCTTTACCCAGATAAGCCTACATAATTGAGACACATATACTTGTTGAACTTAATTTTTTTTGAAAATGAACAACATTACAACTGTTAAAGTGCATTTCTTATGTTTATTCAAAATCAATACGACACACTCACCGTCAATAACAAACTAAATAAATGTATTAAATTTGCAACTTGCAACAATTTACAAAGGCAATAGATCTAGAAAGTGTAAGCACAATAAAAAAAAATCTTTTTTTTTCTACTTCTCTCCAAGCACCATGCATCACTCATCGTTGGGGCCATCGGCGCAGTAGCGTAGCGAGGGGGGGCGGGGGGGGGGCGGAAAGGGGGACATATGTCCCCGGGCGCCGAGCTTAGGGGGCGCCAAAATGGGTTGGAAAAATAAATTGAAAGGTTGAGGGGGCTGCAAATTGAAAGGGGGGGGGGGGGGTGGTTGCAAATCAAAATCTCGAGGGGGGGGGGGGTGCAAATCGAAAGTTTGGGGGGGGGGGGGCGTGCAAATCGAAATCTCGAGGGGGGGGGGTGCAAATCGAAAAGTTTGTCCCCGGGCGCCGGGAAGGGTCGCTACGCCTCTGCATCGGCGTGGTAGAGTCGGTAACGTTCATGGTTGCTAACCGAAAAGTCTTGAGTTCGAATTCTCTGACAGATGAGGCTCGTTAGCTGACACAACAATCTGTCACGTGATACAACAATCTGTCACGTGATACAACAATCTCTGACGTGAAACAACAATGTCTCACGTGATACAACAATCTCTCACGTTACAATCTCTCACGTGATACAACAATCTCTCACGTCACACAAGCATCTCTCATCAAGCTCCCACGCGACACAAATTTTAACGTGACATACCCAGATAGGCTCCTGTATGACATAACAATTTATCACAGTAAAAAACATTTTGAAAATAAAGACAAAACAATAGCCTAATTAACATGATTATCACATTAAAATAACTGCCTAAATTCTTTCAGTCAATAAAATAACACACCTTATTTTTAAAAATAACCATCATAACATTTTTAATAAACTGCTAATTCTAAGTGAATTTTAAAATGTATTTATATGTTTATATTCTATTTAAAAAAAAACTTATTTTAATTTTTTAAAATAGTTTGTATAAAATCACAAGCGGACTTAAAAGCCGCCTTGCCACTCCTAGGCTGCAAGAACTCCGGAAGGAATTTCGACGTGTCGCTATGGAAACCGCCGTGGCCGTAATGAACCTTGACCCTGACCCCAGCGTCCTGAAGTCTGCGCGCGTACAACAACGCGTCGTCTCTGACGACATCGAACTCGCAGGCGTGAAGGTACGCGGGCGGTAACCCGGTCAAGTCTGCGGACATCAACGGCGACAGCATGGGGTTGGTGATGATGTGTTTGATTTTGGCGAAAACGTTGGTGTCGTAGGAGGATGGTGATGATGTGGTGACGTTCTTGCTGGGAGTTCTGAACTTCTGGGGGAGGAGCTTCACGCTGACGTAGTCGGAGTACTTGGACTCTCGGAGCTGGGGTGAAACGTGTCTGTTTTCTGAGATCACCCTGGCGTAGTAATCCGTTTTGTTGTTGTCTGGGGAGGAAAAAAAGTAGTCCGCCTTTAATGATTTAACTTTAACGAGCTGAACCGCGATGTAGCATACGCCGCTATTTAGTTGTTTGATTTTCTATTTTTCAGTAATTCATAATTTGTGAATTCGACACTACCAATGCTCAGTGTTTCTTCCAGACGTTTTTCTCCGGGAGGGGGGGGGGGGGAGCACTTGAAATTTTCGCGGGAGGGGGGCGGTAGACTTTCTTCGTGGGGAGGGGGGCACTGTTAAAAGTATATATTTAATATATAAATTTCATTTCGTTCGGGGGGGGGGGGGGGGAGGTAGACTTTCTTCGGGTTGGCGGACACTGTTAAAAGTATATATTTTCTATATAAATTTCATTTCAAAACACTATCAATAACCCCCCCCCCCTCCACCCAGTCCTAAACCATCCCAAAAATAACATGTCTTCCATCCAGTGTTTCTTTGAGACACTTTTCTCTGAGGGGCGGGGAGCACTTGAACCTTTCGTGGATGAGGGGAAGGGGGAGTATATATTTTATATATAAATCCTATTTCGATATGGGGAGGGGCGGTAGACGAGGTATGATGGAATGCCTGAAAGAAACTCTCTATCATTTGTTATTAAAGAAAAGCTAAGCGTATTAGTGGCTAAAATACCCCCCCCCCCCCCCCACCTACATACCAGAGTGTCACAAAAATCAGACTCTACCTCCATCACTTTCACATTATATATACGCACTAATTACTTAACCATTTTAATGACTTTTTGACGATCGTCTGTAATTTTACTTTTATTCTTGACATAGAGCTAACACCAATCCTGCCCTTAATCTACAGAAGATTTAAACTTACTTCATTAGTTGAAAGATGAGACCAGTACTCACTCATTATTATATAATGTAAAACAACGAAAGCAACCTCTTACCATGTCCAATGAGACCGCTACTCACTCATTATTATTTAGATATACAGAACATGAGACCGACCACTTACCATGTCCAATGAGACCGCTACTCACTCATTATTATTTAGATAATGTAAAACAACGAGACCGACCACTTACCAAGTCCCAGGTACAAGGAGTAGAATGCCGCCACGTCCTTAGACGTCAGGATGGGCAGTGTGTCGTTGTTGTCGAGGTAAGACGGCAGCCTGAGATCGAATACCTGCAGGGAAGGGAAGGACAGCACCTGGAACTTGAGAGCTGGTAGTTTGGTTTTTGCTTTAGAGATAGTGAGGGCCACAGCTGCTGCCAAGTTGGCACCGGCACTGTCACCTGTGAGATATATATATATATATATATCGATGGTCTCGGTCGCAAACCGTCTAACTCCGAAAATGTAAATTTTACAGGAGAGACAAAAAACTGATTATTTCCTTCTCGATCGCTCTAATACAAATTTTTTTAAAGATATCTCCGAAGAAACTCTCCACCGACTATACTGTAGCGTTTTAAAATGGGTTTTGTTGATATTTACAAAATTATAGCAGGTTTAAAAAGATAGACGGTTTGCTCGGTCTAAAATTCTCGGTGCAAACCGTCTATCTGTGCGCGCGCAGACTTAGCTGTTTTGAGCCGAGAATTTCGGTCTCAGACGCGTTCGTTCGTTTTGTCCAATGAACGTGATTTAGTTATGTTTATGTTTTTAAGTTATAATTAACACTTCATAATTTTTTAGATTATAGTTTTAGGCTCATATTTAAATTATTTGAGTTTATTCTACATTATGGGGTCAGTTTAATTTTTAATAGAGATGTTTTAGTATGGCTTTATCGCTTTCGACTGTATTCATTATGTCTGTATTTAGCACTAGGCTTGTTAACTGTTGAAGGTTATGCTTTATTTATTACATCTTTCTATTCTCACAGTTTATTTTACTAAATCGGGCGGGTGCTGGGTTTCTAGAATGATAATAGTAAAAACAGAAACCGTATTGTCAGATATATTATGAATGAGACATAACACACTAATCACATTAATACTGACTTAATGTTTACTTATTTTACAAAAAATGTAACACAAAAAAAAATGTGTTTATTTTTAAGATTTATTCTTTGAATAAACGTCACATAAAGAAACATTAAAATGGCAACATATTTTTAAAATCAGGGAAATCATCATAAAAAGGTGTGTTTATGACTTGCTTTTAGGTGCTCAAATATGACAGCTTTTATCTTTTTTTTTCTGCTCTTGTACAACTTGATAGGGGCTACAGATGAGATCATAATCTTACGACCCTAGCTTAGCAATTGCCAGCTATCTGCTAATTCACTTTGAAGTAGACAGTAGCATCAGGCTTGTACTGCAGTGCATGAATATTTGTCGCTTTTAATTCTTGATAGGTCTGACTGGTCTTGTGAGATCGGCTGGTCTCTTGTATGGTAAGGCTGGTCTTTTTGAGAGAAGTTGGTGTCTAATGTGTGTTATGTGAGGCTGGTCTATTGTATGTTACGACTGATCTGTTAAGAAAGGCTGGTGTCTTGTATGGTAAGACTGGTGTGTTGAGAGAGGCTTGTCTATTGTAGGATAAGACTAATCTTTTGAGAGAGGCTGGTCTTTTGTATGGTAAGAACGGTCTGTTGGGAGAGGCTGGTATCTTGGAGGGTATGATTGGTCAGTTGAGAGAGATTGGTCTTTTATTATTACAACTGGTCTGCTGAGAGAGACTGGTCTCTTGTGAGTTACTGGTGCCTTAATGTTACGACTGGTCTGTTTTGAAAGGCTGGTCTGTAGAGAGATGCTGGTGCCTTTACGATTTATCAGTTGACAGATGCTGGTGACTTGTATGGTAAGACGGGTCTGTTGAGAGAGACTGATCTGTTGAAAGAGGCTGATATGTCAAGAGAGGCTGGTCTGTTGATAGAGACTAGTCTGTTGAGAGAGGCTGGTATGTTGAGAGAGGCTGGTCTGTTGAGAGAGGCTGGTCTGTTGAGAGAGGCTGGTCTGTTGAGAGAGGCTGGTCTGTTGAGAGAGGCTGGTCTGTTGAGAGAGGCTGGTCTGTTGAGAGAGACTGATATGTTGAGAGAGGCTAGTCTTTTGAGAGAGGCTAATCTGTTGAGAGAGGCTGGTATGTCGAGAGGCTGGTCTGTCGAGTGAGGCTGGTATGTTGAGAGAGGCTGGTCTGTTGAGAGAGGCTGGTCTGTTGAGAGAGGCTGGTCTGTTGAGAGAGACTGATATGTTGAGAGAGGCTAGTCTTTTGAGAGAGGCTGGTATGTCGAGAGGCTGGTCTGTTGAGAGAGGCTGGTTTGTCAATTGAGGCTGGTATGTTGAGAGAGGCTGGTCTGTTAAGAGAGGCTGATCTGTTAAGAGAGGCT